ATAGACCAGTCTATATATTAATCTATAGACTAGTCTATAGATTGATCTATAGATTAGTCTATAGAATGATTTGTAGACCAGTCAACAGATTGATTTATAGACCAATCTGTAGATCTATAGAAAATTCTATAAACTTATCTATAGAAAAGCCTATAGATTGATCTATAGACCAGCCTATAGATTGATCTATAAACCAGTCTTTTGATAGATCTAAAGACCAGTCTATAGATTGATCTATAAACCAGTCTTTAGATTGATCTATAGACCAATCCATAGATTGAGCTATAAACCAGTCTATAGATTGATCTATAGACCAGTCTTTTGATTGATCTATAGACCAGTCTTTAGATTGATCTAAAGACCAGTCTATAAATTGATCTATAAACCAGTTTATAGATTGATCTATGGAGCAGTCTATAGATTGATCTATACAGCAGTCTATAGATTCATTTCTAGACCAGTCTATAGATTTATATATAGACAAGGTTATATATTAATTTATAGACCAGTCTATAGATTGATCTATAGACCAGTCTACAGATTGATCTATAGACCAGTCTATAGATTGATCTATAAACCAGTCTATAGATTGATCTATAGACCAGTCTATAGATTAATCTATAAACCAGTCTTTTGATTGAGCTAAATACTAGTCTGTAGATTGATCTATAAACCAGTCTATAGATGGTCTATAGATCAGTCTTTAGATTGATCTAAAGACCAGTATATAAATTGATCTATAAACCAGTCTATAGATTGATTTATGGACCAGTCTATAGATTGATCTATACACCAGTCTATAGATTTATTATAGAATCATTTATAGACCAGTCTATAGATTGATCTATAGACCAGCCTATACATTGATCTATAGACCAGTCTATAGATTGGCTATAAATCAATCTATTGACCGGTCTATAGACTGTTGTATTGATCAATCTATAGACCGTCAATAGATTGATCTATAGGTCAGTCTATATATTGATCTCTAGACCAGTCTATAGATTGATCTTTAGACCAGTCCATAGATTGATCCATAGACCAGTCTATAAATTGATCTACAGACTGGTATGATCACTTTATAGATTGCTCTACTGCTCAGTCTACAAATTGATCTACAAAATTTTTCTTTAGATTGATCTATAGATTAGTCTCTAGATTCATCTATTTACCAAGCTATAGATTGATCTTTAGATCACTCAGTAGATTTAGCTACAGATCAGTCTATAGAAAAGAGATGTCTTTTCATTTTAAAATTTTTTTTCATTTTAAATTTCTTTGGCAAACGGTGTCATCGTGTCGCCTTAAAAAATATTTACAATTTATTAAGAACATTTTTTGTGCGTGTTTAGTATTAATAATAATACTACTACAACAACAAACAATTTTATTTAACAAATTTGTTGTAGTATTTAGTTTTATAATAAGCAAAAGAATGAAAAATATTCAACAAACATATATTTGTATTTTTTTTTTATGATTATATCTTTGACTTTGATAATCATCACAATGAAATTGAGAGACGAAAAAGAATTGGATGAAAAAAAAATTTATTTTAACATTGAAATCTATTAAAATTTTGTATGTTTTTTTGGGCTACAAAAAAAGTTTATAAACAATATCTGTCTAGCATGTGTAGGAAAATTTATTCTTTAAAAGTTAGTTGTATTTTATTTAAAAAGAAAATTGATTTTAAACAGAAAATGTTTATTAAATAAATGAAGAAAGCATTAAGGTACATTAAAAATATTGTTTAAACTATGGTTACAAAATATAAAACTAAAAAATTCGGTTAATATTTTGTTAGCAAAGTTTTATCAAGTCTTTAAGGGAAATAGAAAAAAAAACTGATAAATTTTCAAATATGACGAATTGATTGATGGTGGGTGAATGATAAAAATTTTATTTAAAAATTAAACAAATTCCCTTGAATTATAGATAAAGCTTAAACAAATAGTCTGGGCAATAAAATTAAAGACACTAGATATTTAAAATTTCTCAAAAATCTTAAAAAAAAATAAATTTAATATAATTTATAACAATATATTCAATCCTGTCTATTTATCTTTTAGTTAATCCCTGGCTTATTTGCCAAAAAAGCTTAAGTCTAATTTAAAACCTGACAGTTAAATGTGACATTTTGACAGATGGTTTGAAAAAGAAAACTTGTTGTTTGCCTTAATTGTCAAATGAATTGTTTATATTGCTAATAAACCATTGACAGTTCTAACTACTAGCGAAACTCCACACACACACTCACATAGAAAACAAAAGATTTATTACTCTTAACAAATAAATTAGAAAACACTAAATAATTAAAAGAAAACCCCGAAAATTTCTTTAACACTTGTTGCTTAATTAAAATGTGTATTTTTCAAAAAAAAAAAAAAAAATAACAATTTTATGGTTTCCCTGTTTTAAAGGCGGCACAATTGTTTTCATTTCATACAAATGCCACCCATCAGGTTGGGTTTAATCAATCTATCAATCAAACACGTCTTTAGTAAACAGAAAATGTTCTTTTTTTTTTTGATTTGTTTTAACGATAACAAATTTAAATTCAAATTTCTTTTCTAAATAATTTATTGTTTTCAAAATGATTAGCAACATTTGTTTTTTTTTCGTACAAATGATAAGAAAAATTACGTAAAAAAATTAAATAGCAATAAAAATACTTTTAATTTTACAATGTTTAGTGTTAGCAGAATGTTTGCCAAACCCTAGCAAAAAAAAAAAGGGAGAAGCAAAGTTATAGGAATTCCAAAAATTTTCCATAAATTATCTGTTAACAGTGTTAAGATTGATCGATATAGAGGGTACTACAGATATATATGTAGACTGATCTATATATTAATCTCTAGACAGGTCTACAGACTAATCTATGGATCAGCTTATACACTAATCTATAGACTGACCTATATATCAATCTATAGACATATCTATAGATCAATCTCAAGATCAACCTATATAGATCAATCTATAAACTGGCCTATAGATCAATCTATAGACTAGTCTATAGATCAATCTGTAGACTGGTCTATATATCAAACTATAGACTGGTCTATAGATCAATCTATAGACTGGTCTATAGATCAATCTATAGACGGGTCTATAGATCAATCTATAGACTGGTCTATAGATCAATCTATAGACAGGGCTATAGATCAAACCATAGACTGGTCTATAGATCAAACTATAGAGTGGTCTACAATCAATCTATAGACTAGTCTATAGATCAATCTATAGACTGGTCTATAGATCAATCTATCGACTAATCTATAGATCAATCTATCGACTAATCTATAGATCAATCTCTAGACTGGTCTATAGATCAATCTCTAAACTGCTCTATAGATCAATCTATAGACTGGTCTATAGATCAATCTATAGACAGGTCTATAGATCAATCTATAGACAGGTCTATAGATCAATCTATAGACAGGTCTATAGATCAAACTATTGACTGGTCTATATATCAATCTATAGACTGTTCTATAGATCTCACTCTAGACTGGTCTATAGATCAATCTATAGACTGGTTTATGGATCAATCTATAGATTGGTTTATGGATCAATATATAGTGTGGTCTATATATCAGCCTATAGACTGGTATATAGTTCAATCTATAGACATGTAGATCAATCTCTAGACTTTTCTAAAGATCAATCTATAAACTGACCTCTATAACAATCTAAAGACTGGTCTACAGATCAGTAGATAGATTAGTCTTTATAACAATTTATAAACTGGTCTCTATATCAATTTGTAGACTGGTCTATATATCAGTTTATAAACTTGTATATAGATCGATCTTTAGAATCTCTAGATTGATCTATAGACTGTTCTAATGATCAATCTATAAACTGGTCTCTATAACAATCTAAAGACTGGTCTACAGATCAGTAGATAGATTGGACTTTATATCAATTTATAAACTGGTCTCTATATCAATTTGTAGACTGGTCTATATATCAGTTTATAAACTTGTATATAGATCGATCTTTAGAATCTCTAGATTGATCTATAGACCAATCTATAGACTGTTCTAAAGATCAATCTATAAACTGGTCTCTATATCAATCTATAGACTGGTCTACAGATCAGTAGATAGATTGGTCTTTATATCAATTTATAAACTGGTCTCTATATCAATTTGTAGACTGGTCTATATATCAGCCTATAAACTGGAATATAGATCGATCTTTAGAATCTCTAGATTGATCTATAGACCAATCTATAGACTGGTCTACAGATCAATGTATAGACTGATCTATACATCAATCTATAAATTGGTCTATAGATAAATCTATAGACTGGTTTATAGATCAATTTATAAACTGATCTATAGATCACTCTATAGACTAATCTATAGATCAATCTACAGACTAGTATATAGATCAATATAAATACTCAATCAAACTATAGACAGGTCTATAGATCAAACTATAGACTAGTCCATAGATCAATCTATAGACTGGTCTATAGATCAAGCTATAGACTGGTCTATAGATCAATGTATAGACTGATCTATACGTCAATCTATAAACTGGTCTATAGATAAATCTACAGACTGGTTTATAGATCAATTTATAAACTGATCTATAGATCAGTTTATAGACTAATCTATAGATCAATCCACAGACTAGTCTATAGATCAGTCTATAGACTGGTCTATAGATCAATCTATAGACTGGTCTATAGATCAATCTATAGACAGGTCTATAGATAAATCTAAAGACTGGTCTATAAATCAAACTTGAGACTTTTCTAAAGATCAATGTATAAACTGGTCTCTATATCAATCTATAGACTGGTCAATAGATCTATCTATAGACTATTCCATAGATCGATCGATAGATTTTGTCTTAATCTTTTGATCAATCTCTAAACTAATCTTTACATAAATCTATGTTCTAGATATCTCTAGGAAATGGTGTACTTATACTTATATTAAGTGCAAATTAAATTTAAAGAAAAAAAAATTATAAAATAAACTTACAATTTGGCCAAAAACTGTTGACTGCGAATACTATTTCAGCCGCATACATACACACACACTCAGCTACTGCTCTAAGATGTTTGTCACTTTTTATGATGTTGTTGTTGTTTTTTTGTTTTAATTTTTAAGATTTTTTTTTAAATTTTGATATTAGTTTTTCTGATGCCTTTAAACTTGACCGTAATAAAAGAAAATTAAATTAGTAAAATTTTTTTTATTAAATTTTTAAAAGAAAAACACACACACACACACACTTTAATTTTTATATTCTTTTTTATACAAATTTTTAAACTTTTCTTTTTATTAGAAATTTTCTTTTTTAGTAAGATTTTGTGAAAATTTTATTTAAAACACTATTAAATATAAAATATTGACGTAGATTAATAAATATTTAAAACAGACACAAATATTTAAAATTTATGGTATTTTGTTGTTGTTTTATATTTAATTTTTTTATGTTGAAAATTTAGTTTTTTGGTGTCAAGACAGTTGAAATAAATTTTTTATTTAGGGAGGAGGAGGGGTTAAAGAAACCATTAGTTAGAGATTTGGATTTTTTTCTTTTTTTAATATTTTTTGGAAAATTTTGGAAATTTTTAAAACTCAACGAAATTTTATTTTCTTTATGGAACGTTTTAAAAACTGAAAATTTTGTTAGATTCTTTTAAGAGTCTTAATATTTGGTACAAATTTTAAGAAAATTTAAATTTTTATCGATTTTTAAAACTTAACGAAACTTTATTTAACTTAACGAAAGTTAAAAGATAAAAAATTTTATTAAATTTTTTAAATGGACTTAATAGTTAACTTGTATCCGCAAAAGTATTTAATTTTGAGTCATTTTAAAAACTTAACGAAACTTTATTTTTCTTAACGAAAGTAGAAAAATAAAAAATTTTGTTAAATTCTTTAAAAGGACTTAATAGTTAACACATATCCGCTAAAAAATTTAATTTTGAACCATTTTAAAAACTTAACGAAACTTAATTTAACTTAACGAAAGTTGAAAATTCAAAAATTTTGCTAAATTTTTTAAATGGATTTAATAGTTAACACATAACCGCTAAAAATTTTCATTTTGAACCATTTTAAAAACTTAACGAAACTTTATTTTATTTAACGAAAGTCGAAAAATCAAAAATGTTGTTAGATTCTTTAAATGGACTTTATAGTAAACACATATCCGTAAAAATTTCTCATTTTGAGCAAATTAGAAAACTTAACGAAACTTTAATTTACTTAACGAAAGTTGAAAATTTGAAAATTTTGTTAAATTCTTTACATGAACTTTATAGTTAACACATATCTGTACAAAAATTTTATTTTGAGCAATTTAAAAAACTTAACGAAACTTTATTTATCTTAACGAAAAGGTAGAATATGAACATTTTTGTTAGTTGCTTTAACGAAACTTAATAGTAAAGACATATCCACCAAAAAAAATTTCATTTTGAGCCATTTAAAAAACTTAACGAAACTTTATTTTACTTAACGAAAGTTGAAAAATCAAAAACTTTTTTAAATTCTTTAACGTAACTTAATAGTAAAAACATTTTCACAAAAAAAATTAATTTTGAACCCTTTAAAAAACTTAACGAAACTTTATTTTATTTAACGAAAATCGAAAATCAAAATTTTTATTAGATTCTTTAAAAAAACTTAATATTTGATGAAAATTTAAAAAAAAAATTAATTTTCATGGATTTTTAAAACTTAACGAAACTTAATTTTTCTCAACTAAAGTCTAAAATATATAATTTTAGCATTTTTCTTCAATTTAAAACATTTTTTTTTTTTTTCAAAACACAATTTTTGTAAATTTTGTTTAATTTAGAAAACTTAACGAAAAGTTTTTTTCTCAAATTTCTTTAAAAAATGTCCAAATTTTTCTTTAATTTTTGTTATTCCACAAACTGTTATTTTTTTGCAATTTTCTTATTTATTTATCTTTTTTTTTTTTTTTTTGTTTTATTATTTTCACATAAATTTCAATTTAAATAACGGTTATTTATATATAAATTTCTTGCCTTTTGCTCAGATCTGATCTTGCAGTTATCTTTTCTTAAAAAAAATATAATTTATTTCAATTCATTCATTCATAATTATTCTTAAATTTCGTTACACTTTTTTTTTATTTTTTCACTTAATTCGCGCTCTTTATTTATTTTTGGTCATTATTATTATTTGCATTTGTATTATTTAATTTTGTTTTTCGTCGTTGCTGCTGTTAAATAAATTTATTTTTCTCACATTTTTTTCACTCTTTCTTACATTTACATTCACTCAAACACATTTAATTCTTTATTATTTTCTTTATTTCCCTTTATAATACAAAAAGAAATTAACACATTACCCCGTGTTTCGATTTTTTTCCGCAGTTTTAGCGTTTTTGCGAGCGCCACGATCTACTCGTTAGGACGTTGCCGTCCAAACTAAATAAATTTATCATACACACTCACGTCCAACAGGCGTTTGTCTACACGACTGTGAGTGTCAACAACATTTCGTTAAATACATGCGAAATATGTATCAGCAACACAATCACAACAAAAATGAGAATGAAAATACAACAACAAACACACTGTTGCTGCTGGTGACCCATATGTTGACATCAACGAGAATAACAACAATAAGAACAAAAACCAAAACAAAATCAACAGCATGCTTAGGTACCTTCAGTAAATATTGTTGTTTACATTAAGCCAAATGTAATAATGAGTACATGAGCAAATGCTTGAATGAGAGAGAGAGCAAAAGCTAGAAAGAGAGTGTAAATAAAACAGTTGTTTATTAAGTTTATAAAAAGCTTTTGGTTAGTAATTCAAATTCTAACGGTTTATTGTTTATTTATTTAAAACTACCAAAAAAATCGTTAACTTTCAAAATATTACGTATACGTTAAGGTGGTTAACAGAGTTAATAGTTATTACTAAGGCGTACAAGTAATAATAAATAGTGAAAAATGTAAATTAAACATACGCATAAAGAGAAACTAAATTTAAACGAAAATTCATACGACAAATAAAGACAGGATAAGTTATTTTAAATCTAGACTGTAGACTAGACTATAGACTAGACTATAGACTGGACTATAGACTAGACTATAGACTAGACTATAGACTGGACTATAGACTAGACTATAGACTAGACTATAGACTGGACTACATACTAGACTATAGACTAGACTATAGACTAGACTATAGACTAGACTATAGACTAGACTATAGACTAGACTATAGACTAGACTATAGACTAGACTATAGACTAGACTATAGACTAGACTATAGACTAGACTATAGACTAGACTATAGACTAGACCATAGACTAGACTATAGACTAGACTATTGACTAGACTACAGACTAGACTATTGACTAGACTATAGACTAGACTAGACTATAGACTAGACTAGACTATAGACCAGACTAGACTAGACTATAGACTAGACTATAGACTAGACTACAGACTAGACAATAGACTGGACTATAGACTAGACTATAGACTAGACTAGACTATAGACTAGACTATAGACTAGACTATAGACTAGACTATAGACTAGACTATAGACTAGACTATAGACTTGACTAAAGACTAAACTATAGACTAGACTATAGACTAGACTATAGACTAGACTATAGACTAGACTATAGACTAGACTATAGACTAGACTATAGACTAGACTATAGACTAGACTATAGACTAGACTATAGACTAGACTATAGACTAGACTATAGACTAGACTATAGACTACACTATACACTAGACTATAGACTAGACTCTAGTCTATGAACTACTCTATAGTCTTGTCTATGGTCTGGTTTTTACCTTTCAATCAACTACCACCTCACCCATAAAAATCATCTACTTGTCATTTCAGCATTAGAATTGTTTACATTCAACACGTGTTTATTTACCAATACCATCACTACTCTGTGAAATAGGTGAGCATAGAAATAAACATCTCTCGGTTAATAATAATGTTGTTGTTATAATCATAGCAACATGTTTAGATACATACAAAACACATACATATAAACAAATCTGTGTAAAAGCTGTAATACATGGTTGTCTTTATTTTGGAACAACAAACTCACACCTTTACGTGACAACTGTTATTTTTTGAAACAAAGAAAAGTTATTTTTCATTTTTCAGTTGTGTTTATTTCCGTTTCCTGCAACTTTTAACAAATGCTACAGTAAAGGTTTGGAAATAGGAACACTTATTGTTAAAATTTAACTAAACTTAAATCGAAAAAAGTATGAGTAAAACTGTTATCAGACTATAGACAAAACTATAAACTAAACAATAGACAGGACTATATATAGACATGACTATGAACAGGACACTAGACAAGAATATATACCAGACAATAGACTATAGACTACACTTTAAACTACAAGGCTATACAATAGACTACACGACTACACTATAGACTAGACTATAGACTAGACTATAGACTAGACTATAGACTAGACTATAGACTAGACTATAGACTAGACTATAGACTAGACTATGGACTAGACTATAGACTAGACTATAGACTAGACTATAGACTAGACTATGGACTAGACTATAGACTAGACTATAGACTAGACTATAGACTAGACTATAGACTAGACTATAGACTAGACTATAGACTAGACTATAGACTAGACTATAGACTAGACTATAGACTAGACTATAGACTAGACTATAGACTAGACTATAGACTAGACTATAGACTAGACTATAGACTAGACTATAGACTAGACTATATACTAGACTATAGACTAGACTATAGACTAGACTATAGACTAGACTATAGACTAGACTATAGACTAGACTATAGACTAGACTATAGACTAGACTATAGACTAGACTATAGACTAGACTATAGACTAGACTATAGACTAAACTATAGACTAGACTATAGACTAGACTATAGACTAGACTATAGACTAGACTAGACTAGACAATAGACTATACTAGACTAGACTAGACTATAGACTAGACTATAGACTAGACTATAGACTAGACTATAGACTAGACTATAGACTAGACTATAGACTAGACTATAGACTAGACTATAGACTAGACTATAGACTAGACTATAGACTAGACTATAGACTAGACTATAGACTAGACTATAGACTAGACTATAGACTAGACTATAGACTAGACTATAGACTAGACTATAGACTAGACTATAGACTAGACTATAGACTAGACTATAGACTAGACTATAGACTAGACTATAGACTAGACTATAGACTAGACTATAGACTAGACTATAGACTAGACTATAGACTAGACTATAGACTAGACTATAGACTAGCTATAGACCTAGACTATAGACTAGACTATAGACTAGACTATAGACTAGACTATAGACTAGACTATAGACTAGACTATAGACTAGACTATAGACTAGACTATAGAACTAGACTAGACTATAGACTAGACTATAGACTAGACTATAGACTAGACTATAGACTAGACTATAGACTAGACTATAGACTAGACTATAGACTAGACTATAGACTAGACTATAGACTAGACTATAGACTAGACTATAGACTAGACTATAGACTAGACTATAGACTAGACTATAGACTAGACTATAGACTAGACTATAGACTAGACTATAGACTAGACTATAGACTAGACTATAGACTAGGACTATAGACTAGACTATAGACTAGACTATATACTAGACTATAGACTAGACTATAGACTAGACTATAGACTAGACTATAGACTAGACTATAGACTAGACTATAGACTAGACTATATACTAGACTATAGACTAGACGATAGACTAGACCATAGACTAGACTATAGACTAGACTATAGACTAGACCATAGACTAGACTATAGACTAGACTATAGACTAGACTATAGACTAGACTATAGACTAGACTATAGACTAGACTATAGACTAGACTATAGACTAGACCATAGACTAGACTATAGACTAGACTATAGACTAGACTATAGACTAGACTATAGACTAGACTATAGACTAGACTATAGACTAGACTATAGACTAGACTATAGACTAGACTATAGACTAGACTATAGACTAGACTATAGACTAGACTATAGACTAGACTATAGACTAGACTATAGACTAGACTATAGACTAGACTATAGACTAGACTATAGACTAGACTATAGACTAGACTATAGACTAGACTATAGACTAGACTATAGACTAGACTATAGACTAGACTATAGACTAGACTATAGACTAGACTATAGACTAGACTATAGACTAGACTATAGACTAGAATAGACTATAGACTAGACTATAGACTAGACTATAGACTAGACTATAGACTAGACTATAGACTAGACTATAGACTAGACTATAGACTAGACTATAGACTAGACTATAGACTAGACTATAGACTAGACTATAGACTAGACTATAGACTAGACTATAGACTAGACTATAGACTAGACTATAGACTAGACTATAGACTAAGACTATAGGACTAGACTATAGACTAGACTATAGACTAGACTATAGACTAGACTATAGACTAGACTATAGACTAGACTATAGACTAGACTATAGACTAGACTATAGACTAGACTAACTAGACTATAGCCTATGACTAATAGACTATAGACCTAGACTATAGGACTAGACTATAGAACTAGACTATAGACGAGACTATAGACTAGACTATAGACTAGACTATAGACTAGACTATAGGACTAGCCTATAGACTAGACTATAGACTAGACTATAGACAGACTAAGACTAGACTATAGACTAGACTATAGACTAGACTATAGACTAGACTATAGACTAGACTATAGACTAGACTATAGACTAGACTATAGACTAGACTATAGACTAGAACTATAGACTAGACTATAGACATAGACTATAGGACTAGACTATAGCACTAGACCTATAGACTAGACTATAGACTAGCTATAGACTAGACTATAGACTAGACTATAGACTAGACTATAGACTAGACTATAGACTAGACTATAGACGACTATAGAGGACTATAGGACTAGCACTATAGACTAGACTAAGACTAGACTATAGACTAGACTATAGACTATAGACTAGACTATAGACTAGACTATAGACTAGACTATAGACTAGACTATAGACTAGACTATAGACTAGACTATAGACTAGACTATAGACTAGACTATAGACTAGACTATAGACTAGACTATAGACTAGACTATAGACTAGACTATAGACTAGACTATAGACTAGACTATAGACTAGACTATAGACTAGACTAGACTAGACTAGACTAGACTAGACTAGACTAGACTAGACTAGACTAACTAGACTAAACTAGACTAAACTAGACTATAGACTAGACTGTAGTCTAGTATCTAAACTAGAGTCTAGTCTTTAATCCGGACTAGAATCTATAATCCGGACTATAATCTAATCTATATTCCGGACTGTTGATTGTCTTTATACTAGTCTATATTCCAGTCTATACTCTACTTAAAATTCTAGTCTATAGTCTAATTTATAGCCCTGACTACAGTCTACTCTGTAAGCCAGATTATTGTTTACCTTATAGTCTAGTCTCTAGTCCATACTATAGTCTAGCTTACAATCCAGACTATAATCTAATCTTTTGTCTAGATTGTTGATCTTTCAATGAGTATTAGTAATGGTTTTAAGTTTTATTTTTATTATTTTTGGATTTTATTTATGACACACATTTTTCTTACAATAATATTATTTTGTTCACATTTTTGTTTTTGTTTTCTTTTTATTATTATTATTTTAAAGGCAATGTTAGTCGATCTTTTGTAAGAAAAGAAATAAAAATAAATTTGTTTTTATCAAAAATATTTGTTGTTGTTTTTTTTTTTTATTATTTTTTTTATGAATTTGTTTTTTTAAGAAATTACAATATATAAACTGGCTTTTTATTTAAGATAAGTTTTAATTTACACAAAAAATTTAGAAGAATTAAAAAAAAATCTAAAACAATGAACACAGAAGAATAATTTGGGCAGCAAGAAAACATAAATTTATAATACAAATTCAAACGCAACACTTAAGAAAAGTTTAGATAAGTTAAGTAAAGTTTACTTTTTAAGAGTAAAAAAAAATAATACAAAAATAGTTTTTTTTAAAGAAAATTTTAAATGGAAACATTTGAAACAAAGTAAAAAAACTACTTGTTTTTTTTAAAAAAATATAGCACTTGTTATTTGGCAAAATCAAAAGACAACTTTACAAAACTTAGAAAAATTAAAAAAAATAGTTAAATGGTTTTTTGTTTTAATACAAAATTTAATACAGATTTTTTTGTGTTTTTTTTTTTAATATGAAATACTTTTTTTGAGAACTTTTTTTACTTAAATATTGCTTTTTGGTTTATAAATTCAGCAATATTTAAAAATGTTTTTTTTCTTTATATATTTTTTATCAAATAAATTTCAGCACTTTTTTGTTAAATTTTTGGGGTTTTAAGGGGATTTTTCAAAAATCAATTTAGAATACATACAAATCTTAATATTTGCTTAATTTTAGAACTTTTTATGTTTTTTTGGTTAATAAATTTTAAATTTTGTTGTTTGTTTAAAAATTTGTGTTTTTTTTTTATTAATTTTGAAATGTTGTTAATTATTGCAGCCTATTGTTGTTGTTTTTGTTGCATTTTTTAATGGTTGTTGTATATGACTTATTCCCAATCCTTTTTTATTTCAAATGTCCATTCCCACTTGAGATGAATGTGTTTGTCATCGTCGGTGAAGAGCGAAGAAACCGAATAAGTACCACGAGCCATTAGACCAGAAGGTGCCTCTTCATTGGGTGTTATATAGCACTGCATTTCCTTTTTGGGAGGATAAGATCCCACCATATGTGTCATTTTATCAACTGAGCGCAAGAAAAATTAAAGATAAAGAGAAAATGAGTTAATTTGCAAATAAATTTATAAATATTACACCAAACTACAAAGAGAAAGGGTAATGAAAGAGAAAAGTTTAGTCTATGGTTAGTCTACAGTCTATTCTAAAGTCTAGTCAATAGTCTTGCCTAGTGTATAGTCTAGTCTATAGTCTAGTCTATAGTCTAGTCTATAGTCTAGTCTATAGTCTAGTCTATAGTCTAGTCTATAGTCTAGTCCGAGTCTATAGTCTAGTCTATAGTCTAGTCTATCAGTCTAGTCTATAGTCTAGTCTATAGTCTAGTCTATAGTCTAGTCTATAGTCTAGTCTATAGTCTAGTCTATAGTCTAGTCTATAGTCTAGTCTATAGTCTAGTCTATAGTCTAGTCTATAGTCTAGTCTATAGTCTAGTCTATAGTCTAGTCTATAGTCTAGTCTATAGTCTAGTCGATAGTCTAGTCTATAGTCTAGTCTATAGTCTAGTCTATAGTCTAGTCTATAGTCTAGTCTATAGTCTAGTCTATAGTCTAGTCTATAGTCTAGTCTATAGTCTAGTCTATAGTCTAGTCTATAGTCTAGTCTATAGTCTAGTCTATAGTCTAGTCCTATAGTCTAGTCTATAGTCTAGTCTATAGTCTAGTCTATAGTCCTTAGTCTTATAGTCTAGTCTATAGTCTAGTCTATAGTCTAGTCTTAGTCTAGTCTATAGTCTAGTCTATAGTCTAGTCTATAGTCTAGTCTATAGTCTAGTCTATAGTCTAGTCTATAGTCTAGTCTATAGGCTAGTCTATAGTCTAGTCTATAGTCTAGTCTATAGTCTAGTCTATAGTCTAGTCTATAGTATAGTCTATAGTCTAGTCTATAGTCTATAGTCTAGTCTATAGTCTAGTCTAGAGTCTAGTCTAGAGTCTAGTCTATAGTCTAATCTATAGTCTAATCTATAGTCTAGTCTATAGTCTAGTCTATAGTCTAGTCTATAGTCTAGTCTATAGTCTAGTCTATAGTCTAGTCTATAGTCTAGTCTATAGTCTAGTCTATAGTCTAGTCTATAGTCTAGTCTATAGTCTAGTCTATAGTCTAGTCTATAGTCTAGTCTATAGCATAGTCTATAGTATAGTCTATAGTCTAGTCTATAGTCTATAGTCTAGTCTATAGTCTAGTCTAGAGTCTAGTCTATAGTCTAGTCTAGAGTCTAGTCTATAGTCTAGTCTATAGTCTAATCTATAGTCTAGTCTATAGTCTAGTCTATAGTCTAGTCTATAGTCTAGTCTATAGTCTAGTCTATAGTCTATATAGTCTAGTCTATAGTCTAGTCTATAGTCTAGTCTATAGTCTAGTCTATAGTCTAGTCTATAGTCTAGTCTATAGTCTAGTCTATAGTCTAGTCTATAGTCTAGTCTATAGTCTAGTCTAGTCTATAGTCTAGTCTATAGTCTAGTCTATAGTCTAGTCTATAGTCTAGTCTATAGTCTAGTCTATAGTCTAGTCTATAGTCTAGTCTATAGTCTAGTCTATAGTCTAGTCTATAGTCTAGTCTATAGTCTAGTCTATAGTCTAGTCTATAGTCTAGTCTATAGTCTAGTATATAGTCTAGTCTATAGTCTAGTCTATAGTCTAGTCTATAGTCTAGTCTATAGTCTAGTCTATAGTCTAGTTTATAGTCTAGTCTATAGTCTAGTCTATAGTCTAGTCTATAGTCTAGTCTATAGTCTAGTCTATAGTCTAGTTATAGTCTAGTCTATAGTCTAGTCTATAGTCTAGTCTATAGTCTAGTCTATAGTCTAGTCTATAGTCTAGTCTCTAGTCTAGTCTATAGTCTAGTCTATAGTCTAGTCTATAGTCTAGTCTATAGTCTAGTCTATAGTCTAGTCTCTAGTCTAGTCTATAGTCTAGTCTATAGTCTAGTCTATAGTCTAGTCTATAGTCTAGTCTATAGTCTAGTCTATAGTCTAGTCTATAGTCTAGTCTATAGTCTAGTCTATAGTCTAGTCTATAGTCTAGTCTATAGTCTAGTCTATAGTCTAGTCTATAGTCTAGTCTATAGTCTAGTCTATAGTCTAGTCTATAGTCTAGTCTATAGTCTAGTCTATAGTCTAGTCTATAGTCTAGTCCTATAGTCTAGTCTATAGTCTAGTCTATAGTCTAGTCTATAGTCTAGTCTATAGTCTAGTCTATAGTAGTCTATAGTCTAGAGTCTAGTCTATAGTCTAGTCTATAGTCTAGTCTATAGTCTAGTCTATAGTCTAGTCTATAGTCTAGTCTATAGTCTAGTCTAGTCTAGTCTCTAGTCTAGTCTCTAGTCTAGTCTCTAGTCTAGTCTCTAGTCTAGTCTCTAGTCTAGTCTCTAGTCTAGTCTCTGGTCTAGTCTCTAGTCTAGTCTCTAGTCTAGTCTCTAGTCTAGTCTCTAGTCTAGTCTCTAGTCTCTAGTCTAGTCTAGTCTCTAGTCTAGTCTCTAGTCTAGTCTCTAGTCTAGTCTCTAGTCTAGTCTCTAGTCTAGTCTCTAGTCTAGTCTAGTCTCTAGTCTAGTCTCTAGTCTAGTCTCTAGTCTAGTCTCTAGTCTAGTCTCTAGTCTAGTCTATTCTCTAGTCTCTAGTCTATTCTCTAGTCTCTAGTCTACTCTCTAGTCTAGTCTAGTTTCTAGTCTAGTCTCTAGTCTAGTTTCTAGTCTAGTCTCTAGTCTAGTTTCTAGTCTAGTCTCTAGTCTAGTCTCTAGTCTAGTCACTAGTCTAGTCTCTAGTCTAGTCACTAGTCTAGTCTCCAGTCTAGTCTCTAGTCTAGTTTAGTCTCTAGTGTAGCCTCTAGTCTAGTCTCTAGTCTTGTCTCTTGTCTAGTCACTAGTCTAGTCTATAGTCTACATTCCTTTCTAGTCTCTAGTTTAGTATCTAGTCTAGTCTGCAGTCTAGCCTAGTCTTTAGTATAGTCTCTAGTATAGTCTCTAGTCTAGTCTCTAGTATAGTCTCTAGTCTAGTCTCTAGTCTAGTCTCTAGTCTAGTCTCTAGTCTAGTCTCTAGTCTAGTCTCTAGTCTAGTCTCTAGTCTAGTCTCTAGTCTAGTCTCTAGTCTAGTCACTAGTCTAATAACTAGTTTCTAGTATAGTCTCTAGTCTAGTCTCATCTGGTCAGTAATCTCCACAATAAACCGTCGCTAGTTTGGAATATATTATTGTTTCTTCTGTAGAGTTCAAAGGTGGCATATTGTCTGTCATATAGCCAGGACTATAATCCACTTTATTGTCCATTGCCTATTCCGTAGTCTTATTTAGTGTCTGTTTCATTTCATTACCCTTTTCATTTCTAATTTTATTATTGATTTAATTAATTTTGAAATATCTTACCAGCTATTTCTTTTAGTTGTTAGTAGTTTTTTTTTGTTATTTTTTGTTAAGGACACACACACACATATAAATAATTAGACACAAACACAAACATTGAGTTTAAAAAAATAAATAAATTAGTTGTTAAAAATATAACAGTGTTAGAAAGACAAAAATTTGAAAATGCAGGTTAATATTTTTAATAAAACATTTTTAGCACATAACTAAAACGGTTATAATAATGGAAATTAAAAAAATATATGAAACAGCAAACAGGCCACAAAATATATTGGAAGCAGTAGAATCAGTAAACATTTTTGAAGAGCAATTAAATGTTAATAAAGTTGAACAAGAACTGAACAGTTATTATAATAAACTAAATTAAAAACTGTAAAACTTTTTTGTTAAATAAAAAAAGTATTTAGCAAAGAGACCAAATAAATGTTTACAAAAAAGCAACAAAATAAGGAAAACATAAAAGTATTTAGTTACAAACAAGCCAATGGTTAGAGGGTTATTAAGCATAAAATGTAAAAAATAAATGAAAATAAACGAAAATGTTTAGAAAATGAAGAAAAGAACTATTTAAACACTTACCAGGGACACCTAAACGATAAGTCTTTTGTACGTATTTAAGGCCGTGCACAATTTCTCTTTGAACAATAAAATCAATGCGTACTTTATATTGAACACCTTCTTTAATAACAAAAACCTAAAGAGAAAATGAAAATAATTAATAAATTTATTTGCAAATTTAAAGTTTGTCTCATAACTTACTTGCTTTTTAAGCTGACTTAGATCACCGGTTAAATCTAATTCCATATCATCACGTCCTTCCACAACCAAAGCTAATTTCTTAACAATAACCTTACGGGGATCATTGGGTTCTAATTGAGAGAAAAAAATGTATTATTTAAAAGCAAAAAACAATAATTGATTTCTTTTTCTTACCAACAATAATTTTTTCTGCTTGTGCTTCTCCCAATAGAGTTTCCTTGTAACGTCTTAAACTTTCATCTTCTTGATCGGCTGCCATAATTTCTTCAATAGTTTTTTCTGGTGGTGGCTGGTAGTTGGCATCGTGAACATCTTCTTCGTGATGTTCCACCTCATTTTTTGCAGCTTCAGCATCGGCAGACATAGTGGAGTTTGTGTTGCTTTTAAATTAATACAATGAGAGAAAAAAAACAAAGCCTGTGAGAGAGAAGGAAAAAAATAAAATTAATATTTCATAATTTAAGAGAAAAATTTAATCCTGAAAGAGGGAGTTTGGTGATAGAGAGGAGAAAAATGTTTAGACTACACTGACTGTTTAGACTAGACTATATGCTAGACTATAGACTAGACTATAGACTAGACTATAGACAAGACTATAGACTAGACTATAGACTAGACTATAGACTAGACTATAGACTAGACTATATGCTAGACTATAGACTAGACTATAGACTACACTATAGACTAGACTATAGACAAGACTATAGACTAGACTATAGTCAAGACTATAGACTAGACTATAGTCAAGACTATAGACTAGACTATAGACTAGACTATAGACTATAGACTAGACTATAGACTATAGACTAGACTATAGACTAGACTATAGACTAGACTATAGACTAGACTATAGACTAGACTATAGACTAGACTATAGACTAGACTATAGACTAGACTATAGACTAGACTATATACTAGACTATAGACTAGACTATAGACTAGACTATAGACTAGACTATAGACTAGACTATAGACTAGACTATAGACTAGACTATAGACTAGACTATAGACTAGACTATAGACTAGACAAGAGACTAGACTATAGACTAGACTATAGACTAGACTATTGACTAGACTAGACTATAGACTAGACTATAGACTAGACTATAGACTAGACTATAGAATATAATATAGACTAGACTATAGACTAGACTATTGACTAGACTAGACTATAGACTAGACTATAGACTAGACTATAGACTAGACTATAAACTAGACTATAGACTAGACTATAGACTAGACTATAGACTAGACTATAGACTAGACTATAGACTAGACTATAGACTAGACTATAGACTAGACTATAGACTAGACTATAGAGTAGACTATAGACTAGACTATAGACTAGACTATAGACTAGACTATAGACTAGACTATAGACTAGACTATAGACTAGACTATAGACTAGACTATAGACTAGACTATAGAGTAGACTATAGACTAGACTATAGAGTAGACTATAGACTAGACTATAGACTAGACTATAGAGTAGACTATAGACTAGACTATAGACTAGACTATAGACTAGACTATAGACTAGACTATAGACTAGACTATAGACTAGACTATAGACTAGACTATAGACTAGACTATAGACTAGACTATAGACTAGACTATAGACTAGACTATAGACTAGACTATAGACTAGACTATAGACTAGACTATAGACTAGACTATAGACTAGACTATAGACTAGACTATAGACTAGACTATAGACTAGACTATAGACTAGACTATAGACTAGACTATAGACTAGACTATAGACTAGACTATAGACTAGACTATAGACTAGACTATAGACTAGACTATAGACTAGACTATAGACTAGACTATAGACTAGACTATAGACTAGACTATAGACTAGACTATAGACTAGACTATAGACTATAGACTAGACTATAGACTAGACTATAGACTAGACTATAGACTAGACTATAGACTAGACTATAGACTAGACTATAGACTAGACTATAGACTAGACTATAGACTAGACTATAGACTAGACTATAGACTAGACTATAGACTAGACTATAGACTAGACTATAGACTAGACTATAGACTAGACTATAGACTAGACTATAGACTAGACTATAGACTAGACTATAGACTAGACTATAGACTAGACTATAGACTAGACTATAGACTAGACTATAGACTAGACTATAGACTAGACTATAGACTAGACTATAGACTAGACTATAAACTAGACTATAGACTAGACTATAGACTACACTATAGACTAAACTATAGACTAGACTATAGACTAGACTATAGACTAGACTATAGACTAGACTATAGACTAGACTATAGACTAGACTATAGACTCGACTATAGACTAGATTATAGACTAGACTATAGACTGGACTATAGACTGAGTTTTTATAAAAATTAATTCAATTTTTGTACTTGTAATTAAGAACATAGTTTATAATTCAGCTAGCTGAATAAAATTGTTTATTTAAGGTTATTCAGCCTAAATTTTATAATTCAGCTAGCTGAATATACATTTTTATTACTATTTCAAAATTATTAACAACTTCTTTTAAAATTCAGCTAACTGAATACAAGAATTTCTATGTATTTTATATATAAAGAGAGATTGTTTAGGCAAATTGAATTAAATTGTTGCAATTCAGCTAGCTTAAAACAATTTGTGTGTAAGTGTTTAAGGTTTGCTAAAGCGAATAATAGAAATTTAGTAAACTTTTTGCCATTTAGCTAGCTGAATATACATTTTTGTTAATGTTTAATATTTGATTTAACAAAAATGTTACATACTATGAAATTTTAAGTCATATTTGGTTATTCAGCTAACTGAATATACACATTTTTTAATAAAAAAAAATTTAATCAAGTTGATTTAGGCACATAGTTGCTATTCAGCTAGCTGAATATACAATTTTGTTAAAATAAATAACTTAATTATGAACAAGTTGTTTTACTTTGATATTCTGAGGGTTAATTTATAATTCAGCTTGCTGAATATAGACATTTTATGGTAATTTGTTTAATAAGCTAGTTATATACAAAAATTTAGCTTGAATATTGTAATTCAGCTAGCTGAATATAAAAGTTTTGAGTTAACATGTATAAAAAACTTATTATTTATATAAATTTAGCTAAAATTTAGCAATTCAGCTAGCTGAATATATAAATTTTAAGATTATTTATATAACAAACTAATTTTTAATAAAATATGTCAAAATTTAACAATTCAGCTAGCTGAATTACAAGTTTATTTAGCAATAACTTTTACAATTTCAATAATTTCCCTTTTAAAGTTGTTTTTCTGTTCTTAATTATTGTTTTTATAAAAAAAAAATATATATACCTTTATGTCTGTGTGTTTGTCTCTGCTTGCTTATCAATAAATTAAAGCAGAAAAAAAATGCAAAATAAATACCAATTTAATAAATATTTTTGCTGTTGTTTATCAGTTGATATGAATATTTCTTTTTCTTTTTTGTTCTAGTTATTTATAACAATTTTGTTTTTGTAGTTTTTTCCTGTTCTTTTTTTTTTAATATTCATATGTTAAATAATATCGATTATATGCTGAATTTATATTTATGTATGTATGTCTAGAGGTAGTTAGGAGGTATTATTTTGTTACGCCTATTTTGTATAATGAAGTGTATTGCTATAAACAACCGTACATACTGCCATATTTTTTAGTTGTGGTTGTCTATTAAAGGATTGTAAGGTGTTTGTGTTTCAACTACAAAAATTTACGACATCAACATCATTATCATCATGAATGAACACACTTAATGGGTTGTCATGGATTTTGAAACTTTTTCTTTACCCTTGGGTCCTTGAGTTTCTAACCAAGGAGGATAAGTAATAGCGAATGTTTAAAGGTTTCATTTATAGCATAAAGTAAGAAATTTTAAAATAGATGTTTTTAATTAAAAAAACTATGACCAAAGTAAACTTTATAAATGTACCTATCAATTTATTTAAAAATTTTCTAAATTTGTTAATATTTAATAGTTTTATTTTTGTTTTTTTGTTTTCATTTTTCCCATAAAATCTTATTGTTAATGATAAATGTTTTATTTTCGCTTTTTTATAGTTTTATTATGACTGTTAAGAGTTTTTCTGTTTTATTTTTATAATTATTGTGGTTTTAACCATTTTTAGAAGTGGTGATTGATTACTGTTTTTTTAGTTAGAAAACAAATAGCAAATATGACATTTTAAAAAGTTAAAAACTAAAGTAAGCTAACTTGCTCAGAGAATCAATTGAATCCAAACTTATTGATGTAGAATGTTTGAAGATTGTTTAGGTATTGAGTCGAAATTATAAATAGGGCTGGCTATAGCTGAGACAAAAAGAGTAGACCAGAGCCTATACAATACATCACTCTATAAACGAGACTACAGATATGACAATAGAGCAAACTGTCGAAAAAATAGACCAGATTATAACTATTAACCGAACAGTAGTCATGACTATAGTCCGGACAGTAGGCCACTCTATAGTAGAGACTATTGACTAAACTATAGAGTAGACTATAAAGTAGACTATAGACTACACTGTCGACTAGCAAAAGACTAGACTATAGACTACACTATCGACTAGACTATAGACTAGACTTTACTACGGACTAGACTATAAATAAACTACACTATAGACTAGACTATAAACAAGACTATAGACTAAACTATAGACTAGGCTATAGACGAGACTATAGACTAGACTATAGACCAAACTATAGACTAGAATATAGACTAAAATATAGACTAGACTATAGACTAGACAATAGACTAAACTATAGACTAGACTATAGACTAGACAATAGACTAAACTATAGACCTGTTAACTGAACAATAGTCAAGACTATAGTTTGGACAGTAGGCCACGCTATAGTCGAGACTATTGAATAAACTATAGAGTAGACTAGACTACACTATTGACTAGACTATAGACTAAGTTATAGAGATTCAGTAAACTTTTTGCCATTCAGCTAGCTAAATATACATTTTTGTTAATGTTTAATATTTGATTTAACAAAAATGTTACATACTATGAAATTTTAAGTCATATTTGGTAATTCAGCTAACTGAATATACAAATTTTTTATTAAAAAAAAGTTTAATCAAGTTGATTTAGGCACATAGTTGCAATTCAGCTAGCTGAATATACAATTTTGTTACAATAAATAACCTAATTATGAACAAGTTGTTTTACTTTGATATTCTGAGTGCTTGTTTACAATTCAGCTTGCTGAATATAGACATTTTATTGTAATTTGTTTAATAAGCTAGTTATATATAAAAATTTAGCTAAAATATTGTAATTCAGCTAGCTGAATATAAAAGTTTTAAGATAACATGTATGAAAAACTTATTATTTATATAAATTTAGCTAAAATTTAGCAATTCAGCTAGCTGAATATATAAATTTTAAGATTATTTATATAACAAACTGATTTTTTAATCAAATACTATAGAGTAGACTATAGACTACACTATTGACTAGACTATAGACTAGACTACACTATTGACTAGACTATAGACTAAGTTATAGAGAAGACTATAGACTAAACTATAGACTAGACTAAAAATGTTTTGGTTTTAGAGTGCTAAAAGTGGTAACACAGGTATTTTTTGTTAAAATGTTGCAAAATTTTAATTTAAATCATAGAAAAAAAAACATTTTATTTTTAAAACATTTTATCAAATTATTAACTTTTTTTAATAATTTTCCCAGAAGTTTTGGTAACACACACTAACAAACGTAAACTTAAAAATTTTGCTAGTTTTGTCAAATGTTTTAAAAATCTAGTAAATTTTTACCTTAAATATAATAAACTTTAACATCTTTTAGTTGTTAATAAACTTTTAACAAAATAAACTACTAAAAATTAAAATTTAAAAAAAAAAATTCCTTAAAATTCTCTTCACGTTTCAAAAAAATTTCTTTATTTACATTTATAACCATTAAAATTATCATATTTCTATAATTTTCTTTTTATTTTATATTCCTTTAATTTATTTTATTTGCTTTTTATATTTTTTAATTAATATTTTAATTATAATTTAATATTCTTCACTTTTTTAACAAACTTTTTACACCTCATTAACGAAACACTTATAAATTTCCCACCATTTTGTTTGCTGTTTAGCAAAAAACTTGACACTAAAAAACAAAAACAACTACTAAAATAAAAAAAAAGTGTGAAAATGATACCCTTAAAAAAATGACAACAACAACAACATCAAACAAACATAACAAAGTTGTTAATAACAACAACAATATTAAACAGACCCCCCATTTAAGCTGCACTTGACCTGATAAACAAAAGAAAAACTAAAAACACACACTAATAACTTAAAAAAAGAAGAAGACAACAATAAAAAAATACACAAACAGAATATTAACAAGAAAAAAAACAACAACAATAACAATTTAATGAATGACAAGTTTAACTAGAGTTGCCAAATTTAAAAACTAACTAACAAAAATACTCGAGAAAATACCATTTAAAATAAAAGTATGAATCACAAAACAACAACAAATAAATGTTAAAGCAAGAAGAAAAAGCACCGGTAAATACCTACTGAAAATAAAAGAGAATTAATAAAAATAACGAAATATAATAATTATTATGATAAAAATAATGATAATGACAATGACTAAGAAGGCAAAAGGGAAGGGGACAACTGGAAAAAAATGAAATAAATAAAAAATAAATTAAATTTTTTATTAAAAAAAAGGGAAGAAAGACAAAATGATTTAAATAATAATGAACCGGTTGGAGAGTAAAAAAAAAAGCAAGCAAGAAAATTCAATGTGGGTAGGGAAATATTTAGCAGACAAAGGAGATGATTGACTGACTGACTGCTCACACAACCCCAACCCATGGTTGTTGGGAGACAAAACAAGGAAAAGACACACAGTTAATAGCTACTCGAGTCAACAAACTGACAAACGCACGTAATTATTGTGTGTGATTGAAATTTTAAATTTAACTTGGAAAAAAGATGAAATTTTTGTTGTTGTTGTTGCTAATGCAAATTGCTCAACGAAGTGGAAAACAATAAATAACCTTAAAAGGCAGCTACGAAACAAAAGCATCCGAGCCAAACAACACCTTAAACGTTTAAACAAAGCCCCTTCCACTGCTCCATTTGTGGTCAGTAAATTTTTTGCCAACAGCAGCAGCAGCAGCATCGTTAGCTATACAACCGCTGTTTGGTTATGTTATAATGCCAAGGGGTCCCCACCCTTTTTTTCCCACATTAAACACTCACTAAGCAAAAAAACCCAGCCATTTTCTAGACAAACATCCACATCATTTTCACATATTCAAAAATACTTCTTTACAAATCTTTCAACTTTAACTATTCAATTTAATTTTAATAAATTTTTTCTCCTTTTTATTATTTCTTACTTAAAAATACTCACTTTTCTTTTAATTTTCTATGTTTTAAATCAAATTTTAAATTTGCAAATTTCCTGCCAATTTTTTTCTCCTCTTTTAGTGTTCTTATTGCTTTTCACTTTTATTTGTATTTAAACGTTATAATTATTATATTTTTTTTTAGTTAATGTATGGCAAAAAGTTGTAAATTGTTTTTTTTTTTTTTTTTTTTCTAAAAGCAAATAAAATTTTAATTTTTTCGAAAGAAAATAAAATTAAACCGCTTCTGCTGTATATATGTGTAGGAATAAAAAAAATTTCTGAACAAAAAAGAAGAGCGATAAAATCTTGTTCTTCTTGTTTCTTTGCTGCTCTCAAAAGTAAAATAAAGTTGCCATATAAAAAATGACTGCACAAAAATCGCTGGAAATTTAAAATTTTGTTGATATAAACACAAACATATAAAAAAATCTTAACAAAGTTTATAAATATTATAAATTGTTAATTTTACTATAATAATTTTTTAATTAAACTACTAATTTTATATAAATTTTGTTAATTAAAAATAGCTTGGATGACCAAATCCTACAGACTGGCAACATTACCACTTAGAAAAGGAATTCCTTAACACAGTTGTAAAATTAAGTAGTATTTAAAGACTAAGTGTACCATATTTCTTTAACAGAAAATCGCTTAATTATTAGGATTAAGTAAATTGAAAATTTTTTTAATTAATTTAACACAAAAGTATTACAGTTATTTTATAACTAATTAAAAAAAGTGTTATTTTTTTACGTAATGAAAATCTATAGCATAAATATTCCAGATAAAACTTTTGTATATTTGAAAATCAAAAATAACGTACATTTTTTACTTAAATTTAAAATTATTCGCTTTCATTGGCCCTTTTTCCTTAAAAAATCCCCAAAATTTGTTATTAACTATAAAACCCTGTTAAAGTATTAACATTTTCAACATACTGGCAACCTTATCAACATACTGGCAACTCTTATCAGTAAACAATATTTGTTGTTGTTATGATATACAAAACAACCACTACATTGTTGTTGTTTTTACTTAAACGAAAACAACGTGCTCCGCTTTTGACAGCTAAAAAACAGCTGTTTGAATAATTTTCGTTTGGAAAGAACAAGCATTTTTTTGTTTTGTGGCGGTGGGCAGCGTTTAGTGTACATATTTTTCGTTTGTATTAACAATCTATATAAAAAAATAATGCAATTAAACTAGTTAATAATAAAATATATTAACAACAAATCACTACAAACACGTTTTGCAACAATACGCTCAAATTATTTAGTCATTAGACAAACGTCAACTGTGTTGGGCAACAGTTTTATTTTATTTGGAGAAAGCAGCACATTTCATAAAAAGAAAACTAATATTTACATAATGGAAAATTTAAAGTAAGTTTTAAAAAAAGAAATTTAATGTTAATTTTGTAAAAAAAAAAACTATTAAAAAGTGATTAGTGGGAAGAAAATGGTAAGTGTGAGAAGTTTGTGTCTACCGTGGGTAAATATATGTAGAAGATAGGGAATTTTGGTTAGTTTGTTAAAGCAAGCAAACTATTAACAGTTATAATTCCTTCTAAAAACATGCAAGGTCGTAAAGGACATTAAAGGAACTACTTATCGTCATGAGTTTAATGATAACTAATCAATCAAACCTCTTAAGTAGTTTACTTCTAAAACGTTACATTTCATAAAACTGAAGACCTCCATTTTGCTCCACAACTTGCTTAATTGTATTTCCATATTAAACAACCTTCAAAACTCTTGAATAATTGTCAATTGTGTGTTAGAATGTTAATAAATAGTATGACCTAAGTGATCTTCCCCCTGCCTGTTAAACAAAAGCATCAAGTTAACTAACAAGCAATAGCGTCATGCAACAAAAAACTCTATAAAGATAAGACACACTGTTTGTTAATAATATTCTCATAACATTTCCATAAAGAGGAAGCAAACAAGCATTTTTATGAGCACGTACAGCTTTATCATTAAAAGTCATCTAAAAACAGCAACTCAAAACGAAAACAAAATTTAGTTATTATTCCAAACAAGCAGTCATGCAGTTGATAAAGTAATTCTGCTAAATCTTGAAAAAACACTTTCATAAATTTCTTATCTTTACAGAGAAGGCATTCTGGTTGGTTGTGGCAATCCTTTGCTTGACATTTCCGCCAATGTCGATGAGGATTTTCTTAAGAAATATGGTCTCAAACCTAATGATGCTATTTTGGCCGAAGAGAAACATATGCCTTTGTATAAAGAGCTAATGGATAAGTATAAGGCTGAATTTATTGCTGGTGGTTCAGTGCAAAATTCTTTACGTGTCTGCCAATGGCTGTTGCAAAAACCTAAAGTTGCTACCTTCTTTGGTTGTGTGGGTAATGATGAGTATGCCAAGATTTTGGAAGAAAAAGCCACCAATGAGGGTTTAAATGTTAAATATCAATATACCGAAGAGGCTCCCACCGGCACCTGTGGTGTTTTAATCACAGACGCTCATCGTTCGTTGTGTGCCAATTTGGCAGCCGCCAATCATTTCACCATTGAACATTTGCAAAAGCCTGAGAATAAGAAGCTATTAGATAATGCGGAATATTATTATATATCGGTGAGTTTGAACAGAACATCAGTTTTAAAATTTTATTATATTTTAACTTTTCTTTATCTATCCTAAAGGGTTTCTTCCTTACCGTCAGCCCGCCTAGTATTATGGAAGTGGCCCATCATGCCCACAAACATAATCGCATGTTCATGATGAACTTGAGCGCTCCCTTCCTGTCGCAATTCTTCAAAGAACCCATGATGGCTGCCATGCCCTATGTCGATATACTCTTCGGCAATGAACAAGAAGTTGAAACCTTTGCCAATGAACATGGTTGGGAAACCAAAGACATTAAAGAAATCGGTCATAAACTAGTCGCTCTACCCAAAGAGAATACACAACGTGAACGTATAGTCATTATAACTCAAGGACATTTACCCGTTTTACTCTTCCGTAATGGTAAAATCGAAGAATTCCCTGTACAAGAATTGTCACGCGAACAAATGGTCGATACGAATGGTGCTGGTGATGCCTTTGTCGGTGGCTTTTTGTCACAATATGTACAAAAGAAACCATTTGATGTGTGCATACGTTGTGGTATTTGGGCTGCTACACAAATCATACAACGTAGTGGTTGTACTTTTGAGGGTAAACCTTCATTTGAGGAATAAATTTTAGTACAAATTGAAAAAAACAGAATTTAACAAAAAAAAGGCCTTTTTTTAACTTAACATCTATCTAATTTGGTTTCGATCTATATATTTGGGGTTGTAATCTATTGTTTTTAAGCTAACTTTTAGACTACACTATTTTTTCGAAATTAACTTAAGCACTTTTTGCAAAACAACAACAGCACTAACTTTCTTAGAGTAGACTCTCCCAGACTTCTTTTTTATCTTTTACTTTAATATCCTTTTGTTTTTTAAAATATTTGATATATTTTTTTAAACAAATTTCTGTGTGTTTAAACCTTATTATATTTTACACATATTGTGTAAAATTGTTAATTTGTGTAATAAATTTTTATAAAGTTTATTGTAAAACAAACAAAAAAAAAAAAAAAAAACAGAACTAATTAAATCTATAGCAATATTTTGTAAATTTTAGCCGTTGAAATATAAAATAATCATGTGTTTACATTAAATTGTATTTAATAAATAAAAAAAGATATAATGATTTACAAAGAAAATATTGAGTTTTATTTATTTTAAATCGATTATTTGAAAATTCTGAAATTAAATTTAAATTTTGAATCAAAAATGTTCAATTTCGTAGAAAGAAATATCAATTTCTTTTAACATTTTCAAATTCTTATAGAAAGTTTCACATTCGAATAGAAATTTTTCAATTTCGAAAAAAAATTTGAAGAAAAGTTTCAATTTTCAAATAGAAAATTTCAGTTACGCATAAAAATTTTCAAGTTCGAATAGATATTTTGTATTTCGAATAGAAAGTTTTAAATTCTAATAGAAATTGTCCATTTCTTATAAATAATTTTCAAATTCGAATAAAAATTTTCACTTTCGAATACATATAAATTTTCACTTCGAATAGAAATTGTCAGTTTAGTATAGAAATTTTCAAATTTGAATAGAAATTTTCAATTTTGAATAAAAATTTGCAATTTTGAATAAATATTATCAATTTTAAATAAAAACGTTCAATTTCGAATTAGAATAGAAATTTTTAATTTCGAATAAAAATTTACAATCTTGCATAAAAATTTTCAATTAAGAAAATAAATTTTTAATTTCGAATACAAGTTTTCAATTGCCAACAAAAAAAATTTCAATTTCGAATAGATGTGTTCAATTTAGTATAAAATTTTGAAATTTAGTATAAAAATTTTCAAATTCGAATAGAAATTTTGAACAGAAATTTTCAATTTTGAATAAATATTATCAATTTTAAATAAAAACGTTAAATTTCGAATAAAAATTTACAATCTTGCTTAAAAATTTTCAATTACGAAAATAAATTTTCAATTTCGAATACAAATTTTCAATTGCCAACAAAAAAAAATTTCAATTTCGAATAGAAATGTTCAATTTCATATAAAACTTTAGAAATTCGAAGAGAAATTTTGATTTTCCAATATAAATTTTTCAATTTCGAATAGAAAATTTCTCTTTCAAATAAAATTTTCAATTTTGAATAGAAATTTTCAATTCCATATAAAAATTTATAAATTCGGATTGAATTTTTTCATTTTCGAATCAGAATTTTTAATTTGGAAAAAAACTGTCAATTTCGAATAGTATTTTACAATTTCGATTTTTAATAAAAATTTTAAATTTCGACTTGAAATTTTCAATTTTGTATAGAAATTTTCAATTTAAATAAAATGTTCAATATCAAATAGAAATTTTAAATATTCAATATAAATTTTTATGTTCGAATATTGAGTTTCGAATAGAAATGTAAAATTTCGTACAGAAAGTTTGAATATTGAGTTTAGAATAGAAACACAAAAATGTTAAATTAAATTTCAATCATTAACTTCAAATTCAAATAGAAATTTTTCAATTTCGAATAAAAAATTTCAAAATTCTGAATATAAATTTTCAATTTTGAATAGAAATGTTAAATTTCTTAAATTTTGTTTAAAATTTTGAACCCAAATATAAAATTTTAAACCAAAACAATATTTAATTTGGACATAAATTTTGAAAACTTTTTCAAAAATGTTGAAATTTAAAACAAAAATATTAAATTTTGAACAGAAATTGGACAAAGCTTCGTAAAATATTTCAAATTTTAAACTACAAATTAAATTTTGAATAAATATTTAAAATTTTGAATAAAACTTTAAAATTTTGAACAAAAATTTTAAATTTTAACAAAACTTTAAATTTTAAATAAAAAGGTCTACTAAAATATTAAAGTTTAAACTTAAATATTTAATTTTTCAGCAAAATTTTCAATTTTGTAAAAAAAAATTCCATTTTCTATAAAATATTACAATATTTTAATTCAAATTTTAAACTAAAAAATTTAACTAAAAGTTTCGAAACATTTAAAAAAAAAAGTTTTGAACCGAAATAATCTATTTTAAACTGAAATTTTTAATTTATTATACATTTTATGATTTTTTTTTTTAACAAAAAATCTTAATTATTCAGCTAAATTTTATATCAATATGTATTTTAAAATTTCTTTTATTTTAGAAGTAATTATTAATTTCAAACTGTATACATTAAGTTAACGAATTTTAACAACCAGTTTTTCCACTAGCGGCACGTTTTACTACATTTTGTAACTTTATTATGCAACCCTGTACTTTATTCTACATTATTGAAGGAACGAGGATAAAACAAAAATAAAAAATAAATAAACAAAATATCTTTGTTTTTACGTTATTGATCATTTTCTTAATGCAAAATTTTTTAGAAACTGATTTTCTGCAAGATGTTTTATATGGAGGATAGGGCAAATATAGGCCGATCCTCGTAAAACTTGGAGAAAGGATTTGTTTTTAATTTTTAAGAATTTTTTATCCATCCCTGCATAATTTCTCACACAACTTTTGTGCTTGCTCTGTTTAGTTATAAACAATATATTTGCTACCAAAATCCCACTTTCTGATCTCTCAGATTCCGTTTTTATTTAAAATCGTTGAAAATTTAAAAACTAAACGTAGTTAAATGAAAACTTAGCCGGCTTACAGTCGATTTTAAGCCGCCGCCGACATATTTAGTGTCAGTCTCCGCCACCGTTAGTTAATATTTGTCGGCGCAGGACTCTGATAAAACAACAAAGTAAACTTTGCATAAATGCGTGTGAAAAATTTTCGCGCCGTATAAAATTTTATTTTTACACATATTCTTTTCATTTAAATTGCTATTAATTAACTTAAAAAGTTAACTTAACCAATAAACAAAGTGCAAATTATAGTTTAGTTAAAAAAATTTAAGGAAATAAAAGAAAATATATGTTTTTATAGCAGTGAGTGTGTTTGGAAAAGAGATTGTGTGTGAAAATTAGCTAGAACAGAAGACCAAGAAGAAGCAGCAGCGGCGTAGCGTTGGTGTAACGAGTGCGAAAAAAGAATAGAAGAAAAAAAAATATACCAAGAAAATAAATATGAAAAAAATGCCACCGCAAAAGAAACGTGAAAAAGAAACAAAAGATGCTGTGGCATCTGCTGCTGCCCTAAATGGTAACAACAACAACAATAATAACAATAGCAATCATAATAACAATTCCACATTAGTGGACAATAAACAACAACAACAGCAAAATGCAATAAATGGTAATAGTGCTGAAGCAATGACAGGCATTGGCACGAATACAGTGGCTACGGCGGCATCAGCAGCAGCGGAACAAACTAAACTTAATAGCCACCAGCAAGAGCAGGAACTCTTTTTACAGGCATTTGAAAGTAGGTTTTCTGTTTTTCACCAATATTTTTCACAATTTATATAATTTTTTCCATTTCCTTTAGAACCCACACAAATTTATCGTTTTTTGCGTAATCGCCACGGTACTAGTCCGATTTTCTTGCAACGTACTCTTAGCTATATGAAGGAACGCATGTCTCGTACTCATCGCAAGCGTAACAATTTCAAAATCAACACCATGCTGGATGTTTTAACACAAAAAAGTCAAACATTATCAAATAATTATTTGAATATCATTTACAATGGTTTGTTTGAGAAAGCGGCCAGTGGGGAACATGCCTGGCAGGCTGGTGATAAGGTTACAGTGGAATCAACTTTGTATAAAATAACCAAAAGTAAACGTAAAGACAGTACCTCAGATTTTCAAGAAATTTTGGTAAGTTTTTAGGAATTTTTTAAACATAAAAGAAGATTTTCTAATTTTTTCTGTAAACAGACTTACAGTTCTAGTGTTATTTATAATCCTGTTGATACCATGCAACAATTTACTGCCATTTCCATACCTGCTCAATCTATACATCCACTCGGTGATCAACACACCATCTATAAACTATTGTTTCGCATTAAAGTTAAGCCCGCCGGACAGGATGAAGTCATTGCTAATGGTGGCCATGAGGGTAACTTAAATATTAAGTTATTCCTAAAATAACCTACTTAATAATGTTTCCTACACTTCCAGACACTCCCACCAAACGCTCTAAACTAGCCACTAAGCTGTATGGCTGTGAATTAATCGTTTACGAAAAGAATAGCGGCTGTATACCCGAGGGTGATTATGAGGCCGCTTTACAAGAGCTCAATTCTTCAAGTATTAAATCATTTTCACCAAAGAAACGCAGCTGGGAAACTTTACCCGATAATTACATTCCAATAACCATGAAATTTGATGTCTTCAGTCAATATCCCACTTTAAAGTTTCGTTTAACCTGGTCGGCCAATGAGTTGCCCAAGGAAATCTCTTTAACAGAAATGGATACCTATTGTACATTTAACGATTTAACCCATGGTATTGACTGTGAGAATACCAATACCACCAACAACAATGATCAAATAAATCACAATAATAATTGCCTGAAAACAGCAACAAATATGTCGACTTCCTCTACAGCAACAACCAAAAATAATGGCAAATCTAACAATAACAATACAACCACCATATCTAAACCCTTAGCCAAAACTGAGAAAATACAAATTGTTTATAATTTTTTGTACAGCAACAATACACGTCAACAGACCGAATACACCCAAGAGGTCATTTGCCCCTGGTGCGGTTTAGACTGTATGCGTTTGTATTCATTGTTAAAACATTTGAAATTATGTCATGCACGATTTAATTTTACTTATCAGCCGGCTGCTCAAAATGGTGCTAGAATTGATGTTACCATAAACGATTCATATGATGGTTCATATGCTGGTTCACCGTATGATTTGGCCGGACCATCGGGTTGTTCGTTTGCACGTACGTGTGGTCCCGTACGTCGTACTAGCGTTACAAATTTATTGGTTTGTCGTCCGCGACGACAGAAGACATGTTTGGATGAGTTTTTGGTTTTGGATGAGGATGATTTGAGTAATCAGAGACCCTATATAACGGGTCATAATAGGTGAGTAGAAATTTTAAGTATTCTTTAATAATAATCTATAATTTTCTAAAGAAAATTTAATAAGGCGAATGGATTTCTATAGAAAATTAAGGCGTAAGCATTTCTGTAGAAAGTTCTTTACGGCGAATTTATTAAATATAAATTCTTTAAGGCTATATAATTTCTCTTCTAAATTGATTAAGGCGAATATATATTTCTATTAAAAATTAATTCATTTCTGCAAAAATTAAATGAGGCGAATTCATTTCCATATAAAATTCATCAAAACGAATTCATTTCTATGAAAAATTCTATAAGGCGAATTCATTTCTGCGAAAGTTCTATAAGGCGAATTCATTTCTATGGAAAATTCAATAAGTCGAAATCATTTCTATAGAAAATAAATAAAAAAAGGCGAATTCATTTCTATGGAAAATTTATTAAGTCGAATCCATTTCTATGGAAAATTCAATAAAGAATATACACATTTATGAAAAATTCAATAAGGCGAATTCATTTCAGATATATTCTATAAGGCGAATTAACTTTCTTGGAAAATTCAATACGGCGAATTCATTTGAATAGAAATTCTATTGTACGAATTCGTTTTTATAGAAAATTCACTACGGCGAATTCATTTCTATAGAAAATTCCTTAAGGCAAATTCGTTTCTATAAAAATTTTATAGGGCGAATTCATTTTTATAGAAAATTCTATAAAGCGAATTCATTTCTGTGGAAAATTCAACAAGGCGAATTAATTTCTACAATAATAATATAAGGCGAATATATTTCTATGCAATATTCATTAAGGCGAATTAATTTCTATATAAAATTCATTAAGGCGAATTAATTTTTATATAAAATTTCAAAAGGCGAATTCATTTTTATACATTTCCTTAGAAATTTTATTACGGCGAATTCATTTCTTTAGAAAAATTTTTCATTCTGTTCTGGTTGTTCTAGTTCTGTTATACTTCTAGTTTAATCCTAAAAATGTTTTTATCTTTCCCCGCTTTCCAGACTTTATCATCACACCGAAACCTGTCTGCCAGTCCATCCCAAAGAACTCGATATCGATTCAGAAGGTGAAAGTGATCCCTTGTGGTTGCGTCAAAAGACCATACAAATGATTGATGAATTCACCGATGTCAATGAGGGCGAAAAAGAACTAATGAAACTATGGAATCTACATGTCATGAAACATGGCTATGTGGGTGATTGTCAATTGCCTTTGGCCTGTGAAATGTTTCTTGATGCAAATGGCCATGAGATAATACGTAAAAATATCTATCGTAATTTTATTTTACACATGTGTTCCCTCTTCGATTATGGTCTAGTATCCCCAGAAACTTTATATAAAACTGTACAAAAACTACAGGGCATTTTAAGTAAATATCGTGATGGACAAGAAATGATGTCTAAACAACGTGAGGCCCAATTAAAATATTGGCTAGAGGTGGGTATACACAAACAAGATGAGCAAAAACTCAAATCACCACAAAAACCTGTAGCGCCAACAATAACAAATGCTAATAATGCCGTGGCAGAAAGTAAAGGTGATAAAGCCAACGATGCTAAAAACTCTATGCAACCGCCTAGCAAACGTTCTTCTAGTGCCGTTAAACGTTCTAGTGTCAATGCCAATGGCGGCAGTGTAAATGGTGCTGCTGGAGAAAAACTAAGTAATGGTAAAAGTGTGGCACGCAAGTCAGCTACTCAGGAGGATGATGCCAAAGATAAATCCAATAGTCTAAAGAGAACGGCCAATGGTGATAGAAAATCAGAAGCCAAAGCTAAAAGTGAGGCAGACAACAAAACTCAAGCAGCTAAAAGAAGACTTTCTACAAGGGGTAAGTTCAAACTTTTCAATAATTACTTTAATTTTTATGTTTAATTACAACAAAAACAAAAGTTTATCTCTAAACACAAACTGCGTACCACAATCATGTCTTACATGTAATCATTTAATCACAATTTGTATAAAAAAATAGGTTAATTTAATTGGTTTTGGCAAAAAAAAAAATCTTCTTCGACGTCTTCTTCGTTGTTTTCATTTTTACCATCCATCAACATCTTTAAGCTACAAGAAATCATCATTATCTCCTCCTACCCAGTTCAACTTCAATCATGTTTCAATTTCAAAAAAAAAAAAAAATAAGTAACAAAATTCTAAATTCATTTCAATCAAAATTAAAACTATCAATCAACCACATTTGGCTTATTTTTACCATAAATTCTAATAATTTGGTGTTTTTTTTTTCAAATACTTTTTGTTCTCTATTCTATTGTTTTATCTCTATAAACGTTATTTTTCCAATTTAAAATCTACTTGCTGCCGCAGATGATAATAGTGTTGATGTTGATGGTGCTGCCAATGATGATAAAAAACAAAAGAAAAGTGTTTTTAAAATACACGAACATCATCATCACTTCGATGAGGTTGTGGTGGTGGCAAAACAAATGCCTCCTGAGGAGTTTAGTAATAACAATAATAATGATAATAATACAAATAATTGTTCTAGTACTAGTAGTTCTTCATCTATTATTTTACAGTGATTATTATTTTATTATTGTGTGAGTTTTATTATTTTAGCTCTTAAGTTGAGGTTATAAATTATTAACAAATTTGAAAGCATAGTTGTGTAAGGGAAACAGTGTTGAAAATTGTGAAGAATTTGAGATTTTGCTAAAGCGTATGGATTTTTATAGAAAATTCTTTAATGCGTAATAATTTTTAAGGAAAAATGAATAAGGCGAATTCATTTCTATGGAAAATTCTATAAGGCGAATTCATTTCTATGGAAAATTCTATAAGGCGAATTCATTTCTTTGAAAAATTGAATAAAGCGAATTAATTGTTTGTAAAAAATTCATAAGGCGAATTCATTTCTGTATAAATGTCATAAGGCGAATTAATTTCTATACAAAATTCAATAAGGCGAATTCATTTCTATGGAAAACTTTGTAAGGCGAATTCATTTTAGCCAAAATTTTATAAGGCGAATTAATTTTATAGAAAATTTAATAAGGCGAATTCATTTCTATGGAAAACTTTGAAGGCGAATTCATTTTAGCCAAAATTTTATAAGGCGAATTAATTTCTATAGAAAATTTACTAAGGCGAATTCATTTTTATGGAAAATATACAAACTAAAATTCACTTCTTCAATGAGACAAATTCATTTCCATTGAAAATACACACAAAAAATAGAAAATTCACTAAGACGAATTAATTTCTATGAAAAATTCACTGAGGCAAATTGATTTCTATGATAAATTACATATGGCAAATTCATTTCTATCGGAAATTTAATAAGGCGAATTACTTTCTATGGAAAACTCATTTTTATTGAATATTTACATAATAAATATAAAATTCACTACGACGAATTAATTTTTGTAAGGCGAATTTATTTCTAGGGAAAATTTAACAAGGCGAATTCATATTTGCAAAAATTTTATAATTCGAATTAATTTCTATGGAATATTAACCAAGGCGAATTCATTAATACAAACAAAATCAATAAGGCGAATACATTTCTGCAAAAATTTTATAAAGCGAATTAATTTCTATGGAATATTAGCTAAGGCGAATTCATTAATACAAAAAAAAATCAATAAGGCGAATACATTTCTGGAAAAATTTTATAAGGCGAATTCATTTCTGTGAAAAATTTAACTAAGCGAATTCATTTTTGCAAAAATTCTATAATTCGAATTAATTTCTATGGAAAATTTGATAAGGCGAATTCATTTCTATTGATATTTCACCAAGGCGAAGTCATTTCTATGGAAAATGCGAATAAAGGCGAATTTATTTATGTAAAAATCAATAAGGCGAATTCGAATTTAATAAGGCGAATTCATTTCTATGGATAATTCATTTAAACAAATTCATGTCTGCGAGAATTCTATAAAGCGAATTCATTTCCGTAAGAATTCAATAAGGTAAATTATATTTCTATATAAAATTCAATAAGGCGAATTTATTTCTGCAAAAATTCTATAAGGCGAATTCATTTCTATAGAAAATTTAATAAGGCTAATTCGTTTCTATAAGAATTCGATAAGGCGATTTCATTTCTATAGAAAACTCACTAAGGCGAATTCATTTCTAAGAAAAATTCAAACAAACAGAAGATTCACTAAGGAGAATTCGTTTCTATTGAAAATTCAGGTTCGCAGTACCGTATCTGATATTAATATAAACAGCTTTTTAAACAAAATTTTGAAAAAGTTTTTTGAAAACTTTTGAAAAATTTATGTTTTTAATTTCTCGGCTCGTAGGACCATTTTTTAAAAATGTTTAAATATCAATGTTTGAAAATAGTTAAAATACTTGTTACTTTTTTTTTTTTTTGGAAAATATTAGAAAGAAAAAGGTTATTATTTATCGGCTCGTAGGACCATTTTTTAAAAAAAATATTTAAAAACCAATATTTTGCAAAAGTTTTAAAAAGTTTCGTAAAATTTATTTTGTTTTATTGAATTCTAGACTAATTTTCAACACTGTTTCTTTACATTTTGCTAAAGTTTTTGAAAAAAATTTAATAAAAAAATTTTACAAAATTTTATAAAAAAAACAATTGACTAATTTAAGTTAAAGCATTTGTTAAAATTAATAATTTTAAGTAAAAATAGCAAGAAAAAAACTATAAAACTATAATTTCCTCCCCCCTTCTACTCCTTTAAAACTAAAACGTTTACCCTAAACGCCCTGACTCAACACAGATATACAACAACCTGCCTCGAAACGTCAGCGTAATGATAGCAATAACACTGCCCATAATAATAGCAATGCTAACAGCAACAACAATAATAACAATAACACAAACAATTCCCGTAATATGTTAAATGCCAAACAACAGGATTCAAGCACAAATGCAAACGTTTTAACTGGAAAACGTGTAGCCACTAGACGTCAATCTATAGCTGGTCTTCCTTTAGATAACAACAATCAGCATAATAATACAAAATTGGTAACGGGTAAAGCATCAACCGGCTCCACCACTCATACGTTGCGTACACGTCTATCGGTGCCTCTTAGCAATAAAGCGGAAAAACGTTGATACTCCGTTTGTCTACACAACTCTCTCAGGCTTTTTATAGGTACTTGAGGTTTGATTTTTTTTTTTTATTCTTTTAATTTTTCACCTAAACGATTTTATATATCTTATAAATATTATAGTAATAATAGAAATTCTCTATAATGCTGTGACTATTATTTGTTGAGTTTTTTTTTCATGTTTTTATCTTTTTTTCTCTTTTTATGTCTTTGATTTTGATTTTTTTTAAATTTGTTAACAATTAATATTTTTCCAAATTTGTTTTAAGTTTTTCTTCTTAACCTTAAAAATTACATAAGATAAAACTACTTTAGAAATTTTTTTAACTTCTAACCTTACACACTTCGTTTTCGCTTCATTTTATGTTGAAGTCAGTAAAAAAATCCTTTAAGTTTTCTTTTTTTTTTTATAATTATAATTATTTGCTTCAACTGCAATAAGTTTTTCCTTTTTTTTTAACAATTGTTTAATTCATCCGTAATTATTAAATCTCATTTTTTTTTTAAATTTCTCTTTAAAGTTTACTTTATTATTATTAGTTTTTATTAAACAAAAATTTGTTGTTTTTAAATGAATTTTATATAAAATGATCCCTTTAAAAATAAACCGCCCCCAAAAGAACATAATTAGCAGTTTTTATACTTCTTAAAAGAAAAAAAATTGCAAAAAAAACAAACAATTAAAAAAAAAAAACGTATCTTGTAATTTAAGTAAATCACTTAAATATTTTTGTATAATTAAAATAACATTTAAAAATGAATAAACAATATATATATATAATAACTATAATATAACCTTAATTATATATCTATACAACAACCACAAAAAAAAAATACTTGAATTAAATAACAAACAACAAAAGAAATATATAAATAATTCAGTGTTTCCAAAAACAAAAAATATTTCCAAAAATGTGTTTCATTATATGAAGCAATAACAAAAAAAATGTTCTCAATAACTTTTAAAAAGAATGATCTGAACTTTAGACTTTAGGGTTCGAAGGACCAAATGGTTTTAAAGGAAATAACAGACGGATTAGGTTCACTAACTCGAATACTCTTCATATACTCTCATACTCATCTAAAAAGGCCTCTTCAACACCAAATATTAAAGTAATTCATTAGTTCGAAGGACCAAATGTTCAAAATTTTTCATATATATAACGGGCTGATTTCCACCACCTACTTAAAGACTTAAAGTTCACCTGTACTCATCAAAAAAATATAGCAGTAATGGTCGATAGGAAAAGGCAAAATTATTAAGCAACTTGTTAAAACAAACTAAAGGATCGAAGAACCAAATATTTCAATCAAATTGCAGGACTAAACACGACAATAAACTCAAAGACATTTAATGTTCGCCCATCCTCATCTAAGGAGACCTGTTCAAGAACTCAAAATAGGAGTGAAGATCCTATAAAGATCCAAGAATGAAACTGTAGGTTCGAAGGACCATATTTTTAAATTAACTGCTGAACAGATAAAGACTACGAAACTTCCTGTTTCCAAACCAAATGCGAGTGATGAGCGAGGCTGCAAACCAAAGTCATTAAGCAAACTGTGTTTTCAAAGAACCAAATGTTTTATTCTATGTGCTGGACTGATCACAACCACAGACGCGAAGTCTATAAATGTTCCTTCATACACGATCACGAACACAATCTTGAAACTCTTAATAATCCAACATCCTCATAAATCCAAGCATTTTCAAGATCAAATAGAAGTGATGATCGATAAGGAATGCCTATATATACTATAGGTTCGAAATGTTTGAGCCTAAATACTGGAGTGTACCCACCACAAACCCGAAGACTCTTACTCATACTCAAAAAAATCCTCTTCAAGACCAAATGGATGCAGGAAGCCGATGTTGTTAAGCAACTTGTTAAAGCATACTGTACGATCGCACTAACTCAAAGACTCTCGTCGTTCGTCCTTCCTCTAAGGAGTATGGATGTCTAAGAAGAACTTAATAAGAAAACATCTACCGAAAGTTCCTTAAAGCGACAATCACCGACAGACGCGCAGAGATGTGAGAAAAAGCGCTTGATAGGGTCTTACGCAATTCAAAGAGTAAAGTCAGAGATTCCGGAAGACCTAGGATAAGCGAACTCCGAACATAGGTTTAGTTCTAGTTCAGTTGTAGTTCGTTTCCAGATCAATTCTTGTTCTGTTCCAGTTCTAGTAGAGTTCTAGTTCAGTTCTATTTCACTTCTAGTTGTGTTCTATTTCACTTCTAGTTCTGTTCTACTTCAGTTCTAGTTCAGTTCTAGTGCAGTTCTAGTGCAGTTCTAGTTCAGTTCTTGTTCAGTTCTTGTTCAGTTCTAGTTCAGTTCTAGTTCAGTTCTAGTTCAGTTATGTTCTAGTTCAGTTCTAGTTCAGTTCTAGTTCAGTTCTAGTTCAGTTCTATTTCAGTTCTAGTTCAGTTTTAGTTCAGTTTTAGTTCAATTCTAGTTCAATTCTAGTTCAGTTCTAGTTCAGTTCTAGTTCAGTTCTAGTTCAGTTCTAGTTCAGTTCTAGTTTAGTTCTATTTCAGTTCTAGTTCAGTTCTAGTTCAGTTCTACTTCAGTTCTAGTTCAGTTCTACTTCAGTTCTAGTTCAGTTCTAGTTCAGTTCTAATTCAGTTCTAGTTCAGTTCTAATTGTGTTCAAGTTCTGTTCTAGTTCTGTTCTAGTTCTGTTCTAGTTCTGTTATAGTTCTGTTCTAGTTCTGTTCTAGTTCTGTTCTAGTTCTGTTCTAGTTCTGTTCTAGTTCTGTTCTAGTTCTGTTCTAGTTCTGTTCTAGTTCTGTTCTAGTTCTGTTCTAGTTCTGTTCTAGTTCTGTTCTAGTTCTGTTCTAGTTCTGTTCTAGTTCTGTTCTAGTTCTAGTTCTGTTCTAGTTCTGTTCTAGTTCTGTTCTAGTTCTGTTCTAGTTCTGGTCTAGTTCTGTTCTAGTTCTGTTCTTGTTCTGTTCTAGTTCAGTTCTAATTCAGTTCTTGTTCTAGTTCGGTTCTAGTTTAGTTTCTGGTGGAGTGATTCTTCAAAGAAAAGTAAACTAAGTTTTTTTCACACAAATTCTGTGATTCTTAATTTTGCATTTAATATTCAAGCTAAATTCCAATACATATTTATAAAGGATTCACAGTAATCTCATGAATTTGTACATGAGGAGGGGTGGCCAAAGCATACATGACACATTCCGAAATATCCTCAGATTTAAGTATTGAATTAGCAGCATTTTTCCATTCATCGGGTACGATTTCGGTATCAGTCATACCGGGGCTAACGCTCTACAATAATAATGAAAAACTAGTTTAAAACTTGCCATCCATTGAAATCCTCGTCAAAAACTTACCGTTATTTTAACTTTTGTACCCAAACCCTTAAATTCCTGACGATAAATTTCCGCTATAGCAGTCACAGCATATTTACTGGGTGGATAGATGTTAAATACGGGCAAATCATGCACAGACGGTGGTATATTGTGACCCAAAGTACTATTAATCAAAACAACATGACCATCAATATCACGTTCTTTCATCGATTTAAAAGCCCGTTGAGTGCAATAAACCACACCCATAACATTGACTTGCAAGATCGATTGTATTTCCTCAACATCCATGGTGGTTAATTGACCCTCAACAAAACGCCCAGCATTATTGATAAGTATATCTATACCACCCAAATTGGCTTCAATCCAATCGAATGTTTCATTAACCATTCTCGGCGATGAGACATCACATTTGAGAGCATGCAAACGTGCTTGCTGATCCTCTGGCAATTCTATGGCATATTCTTCGATTAGATATTTTCGGCGTGCTAAAGCAACAACTACTAAACCCGATGCCAAAAGATCTTTAACTATAGCTGTTCCTATACCGGAACTGGCTCCGGTAACAACAGCAATGCGATTATGCCAGCGTTCCATGATGTTTTTACTTTCGCTCTAGGTTTTAAACTGAGCGGATTATTTGGTAAATTGAATACTTATCTTTTTTTTTTTTTTTTTTTTTTTGAAGAAAAATAGCAAACACTTTTAAATACTCTGACAATTATAATGACGTTGATAAATACATGCAATGATATCAGCACCACACATTTATTTGATTAAATACAAGACCAAATTGATATATAATTAGGGTGTATGAACGATTTATTAACAGGGTGTTGAAAAAAGAGATTGTCTTGAATCAGTGTATTAAACTGTAGATTTCAAAATTCATCTATAGTCAAGATTCTAGACTGATCAATAGTCAAGACTGATGACTGAACTATAGTCAAGACTATAGACTTATATATAGTCAAGACTATAAACTTGATCTATATTCAATGATATAGACTGATCTATAGTCAAGACTACAGACTGATCTATAAACAAGACTATATACTGATCTATAGTCAAGACTATAGACTGATCTATAGCCATGACTATAGACTGATCTATAGTCAAGACTATAGACTGATCTATAAACAAGACTATATACTGATCTATAATCAAGACTATAGACTGATCTATAGTCAAGACTATAGACATGACTATAGACTGATCTATAGTCAAGACTATAGACTGATCTATAAACAAGACTATATACTGATCTATAGTCAAAACTATAGACTGATCTATAGTCAAGACTATAGACTGATCTATAGTCAATACTATAGACTGATCTATAGTCAAGACTATACACAGATCTATGGTCAAGACTAAAGACTGATCTATAGTCAAGACTATAGACTGATCTATAGTCAAGATATATATGTATATAGTCTAGACTATAGACTCTTATATAGTCAAGATTATAGACTGATCTATTGTCAAGACTATAGACTGATCTATAGTCAAAACTATAGACTGATATATAGTCAAGACTATAGACTGATCTATAGTCAAGACTATAGACTGATCTATAGTAAAGACTATAGACTGATCTATAGTCAAGACTATAGACTGATCTATAGTCAAGACTATAGACTGATCTATAGTCAAGACTATAGACTGATCTATAGTCAAGACTATAGACTGATCTATAGTCAAGATTATAGACTGATCTATAGTCAAGACTATAGACTGATCTATAGACAAGACTATAGACTGATCTATAGTCAAGACTATAGACTGATCTATAGTCAATACTATAGACTGATCTATAGTCAAGACTATACACTGATCTATGGTCAAGACTATAGACTGATCTATAGTCAAGACTATAGACTGATCTATAGTCAAGACTATAGACTGATCTATAGTCAACACTATAGACTGATCTATAGTCAAGACTATAGACTGATCTATAGTCAAGACTATAGACTGATCTATAGTCAAGACTATAGACTGATCTATAGGCAAGACTATAGACTGATCTATAGTCAAGACTATAGACTGATCTATAGTCAAGACTATAGACTGATCTATAGTCAAGACTATAGACTGATCTATAGTCAAGACTATAGACTGATCTATAGTCAAGACTATAGACTGATCTATAGTCAAGACTATAGACTGATCTATATTCAAGACTATAGACTGATCTATAGTCAAGACTATAGACTGATCTATAGTCAAGACTATAGACTGATCTATAGTAAAGACTATAGACTGATCTATAGTCAAGACTATAGACTGATCTATAGTCAAGACTATAGACTGATCTATAGTCAAGACTATAGACTGATCTATAGTCAAGACTATAGACTGATCTATAGTCAAGATTATAGACTGATCTATAGTCAAGACTATAGACTGATCTATAGACAAGACTATAGACTGATCTATAGTCAAGACTATAGACTGATCTATAGACAAGACTATAGACTGATCTATAGTCAAGACTATACACTGATCTATGGTCAAGACTATAGACTGATCTATAGTCAAGACTATAGACTGATCTATAGTCAATATATATATGTATATAGTCTAGACTATAGACTCTTATATAGTCAAGATGATAGACTGATCTATTGTCAAGACTATAGACTGATCTATAGTCAAAACTATAGACTGATATATAGTCAAGGCTATAGACTGATCTATAGTTAAGACTATAGATTGATCTATAGACAAGACTATAGACTGATCTATGGATCATTCCATTGTTTTGACTGGATCAGTCTATAGTTCAGTTCCAGCTCAGTTCAAGTACCGTCCTAGTTAATTTCTAGTTTAGTTCTAGTTCAGTTCTAGTTCATATCAAGTTCAGTTTTAATTTAGTTCTATCTCAGTTCTAGTTCAGCTCTATTTCAGTTCTATTTGGGTTCCACTTCAGTTCTAGTTAGGTTACACTACAGTTCCAGTTTAGTTCTTGTTCAGTTCTAATTCACTTCTAGTTCAGTTCCAGTTTATTCTAGTTCATTCTGGTTCAGTTCTAGTTCAGTTCCAATTCAGTTCCAATTCAGTTCTAGTTCAGATCTAGTATAGTTCTAGTTCAGTTCTAGTTCAGTTCTAGTTCAGTTCTAGTTCAGTTCTAGTTCAGTTCTAGTTCAGTTCTAGTTCAGTTCTAGTTCAGTTTTAGTTCAGTTTTAGTTCAGTTCTAGTTCAGTTCTAGTTCAGCTCTATTACAGTTATAGTTGGGTTTCACTTCAGTTCTAGTTAGGTTCCACTACAGTTCCAGTTTAGTTCTAGTTCAGCTCTCGTTCAGTTCCACTTCAGTTCTAGTTTAGTTCAAGTTCAGTTCTAGTTCCAGTTCGATTCTGATTCAGACATTATTTGATGGAAACTCCTCTTTAAAGAAAACCACTTATTTATGTTTATATTGTTGTACAAAAATCCACTTAACTAACAGTTTATTTATCTAATACATTATTACTGTTAAAGGCAGTTTGTTAATAAGACAGACGACACAAATTAAGCACAAAATGTTAAATAAATTTTTAATAATACTATAATATACAAACTATTTAAAAAAACATATTAAAGTACTTATAATCATTTGCATAAAAAATAATTTAAAAGGATAATTTTAATTGAGTAACAATTCCTTTATGTAATCAAATCATTTGTTTAGTTAATTGTAGCAATTACTTGTTTTTTTTTAATTATCTAATATTTTTTTACTATAATTATCATTATTGTTAAAATCCAAAGTAATTGAATTACTTTTTTACGTAATTGCATTCAAAAATATCCTCTGTTCTGTTTCTAGAGCTTAATCTAAATAATAATTGCACATTAAGTATAAAGTTTAACACTTTTCCTGGGCCGCTACTATAACTACATTATTTTTACTATTTAATAATTTAGAATCCTCTTCTATATGACCATTGACTTCGGCTTCAATATCTCTATTGATTTCCGAATTATTTTCTTTTTTTGACGCACTTAAATCCTTTAATTCCACCGGTTCAGTGCTCTCAAATGTGGGAGGAATTAAACGTTTTCTGAAAAGATATTTTCGGAATTAAAATAATGTTTATGTTTCTTATATCTATGAGGAGTACTTACTTTTCAATCAACAACCATATCATGGAAAATAACATCATTATAGCTGTTATGCCAAAGGTCCAATAAGTACCCAATCGTGTATAAATAGAACCCACAAATACTGGACCAAAAACTCTGGATAGACAACCCGAGCCAGTCATTAAACCCATCCAAACTCCCTGAGGTCTTGGACCCAAAACTTTGGAAAATATTGTCTGTATAAGAGTTACACCAATAGGATAACCTATTGAGGTAAAACCATAACCTATAATAAACTGTGTAAGAGTGAGCGCTGGAGTTGTGGCACACCATTCTTGAGTTTTAGGGCAGCCCAAGAATATTTCATTGTCCGGCGATAGATCTATCGTAGAGTTGCCCGTTAAAGGTATGGTTACATTGTAGACTTCAGCAATTTTGGGTGGTCCATCTCCCCAGGGGATATAGAGTACACGACCCAATACCATTAAAGAGAAACCACCCCATATTAGCACCTGATTTTCAGGAAACATTTTACACAATGGATTAATTGCCACAAATGTTATAAGAGCTACTATAGCACCCACAGACATTAAAATACCCATATACCACAAGGCCTCATCATTGGACCAGGCAAATTGATCCATGGTCAAAGAAGTGCCCAAGCTAAAAAGGAAGAAAAAAAAGATTTTTAGTAATTTTAAAAAAACTTTCCGACTTTCTTTTAAAAGTAGGAGTTAATTGCTTGAAAGTCAGGGAATCTTTCCAAAATTCTAAGATTTCTTAGAAACTTACGTTTCCAATAAAACAAAATTGAATACCAATACAAAAAATGCCACTATCAAAGTCCAGGCTGATATATAGTCCGGTTTAATAGATTTCCATGTTTCTTTTTCCGACGATTTACCCTGCATTATCATTATTTCACGGGCCGCCACTTTACGTTCCTAAATAAAAAGAAAAATGAACTTTAGTTCAGTTCTAGTTTAGATCTAGTTTAGTTTTAATTCATTTCTAGTTAAGTTCTAGTTCTTATCTAGTTCAGTTCTGGTTCAGTTCTAGTTCAGTTCTGGTTCAGTTCAAGTTCAGTTCTAATTCTGTTCTAGTTCAGTTCTGGTTCTGTACTAGATCAGTTCTAAATCTGTTCTAATTCAGTTCTAGTTCAGTTCTAGTTCAGTTCTAGTTCAGTTCTAGTTCAGTTCTAGCTCGGTTCTAGTTCAGATCTTGTTCTGTTCTAGTTCTGTTCTAGTTCTGTTCTAGTTCTGTTCTAGTTCTGTTCTAGTTCTGTTCTAGTTCTGTTCTAGTTCTGTTCTAGTTCTGTTCTGTTCTAGTTCAGTTCTAGTTCTGTTCTAGTTCTGTTGTAGTTCTGTTCTGTTGTAGTTCTGTTCTAGTTCTGTTCTAGTTCTGTTCTAGTTCTGTTCTAGTTCTGTTCTAGTTCTGTTCTAGTTCTGTTCTAGTTCTGTTCTAGTTCTGTTCTAATTCTGTTCTAGTTCTGTTCTAGTTCTGTTGTAGTTCTGTTCTAGTTCTGTTCTAGTTCTGTTCTAGTTCTGTTCTAGTTCTGTTCTAGTTCTGTTCTAGTTCTGTTCTAGTTCTGTTCTAGTTCTGTACTAGTTCTGTTCTAGTTCTGTTCTAGTTCTGTTCTAGTTCAGTTCTAGTTCTGTTCTAGTTCTGTTCTAGTTGTGTTCTAGTACTGTTCTTGTTCTAGTTCTGTCCTAGTTCTCACCTCAAATATCGATGGCAGAAACATAATAAAGTTGCCCACACTCATGACAACGTTTATCCAACCACAAGCGGTATACATATTAAAAACCATACCGCCCCACAGCCATACATAACCATCACTTCCCAGAGGAGTAACCAAAGCCTGTAAACCGGGTCCTATAATAAAGCCCAAAACCTGGGCTAATGAAACCATGGAAACCGCTTTTGTTCGTTCACTCAAACGAGTAGCAGCCGACAAATACGAACGACACACTGCAATATTAGCCGAACTGACGCCAATTAAGAAACGAGAAACCAACATCCAATACTTCACATGATCTGGACGCATTTCCAAAGAAGAATATATAGCACTGGCTACAGTGAATAAAGCCAAAGAGCTTAACAACGGCAAACGTATCGAACCGATTTTATTGCTCCACCAACCGAATAAGGGGCTAAAAATCATTTGACCCAATGGATTGGCGGCTACAATAAGACCCATAAATTCCTTGCCGGCGGAAGGATCTAGCTAAGAACAATTAAGAAAAGATCAAGAAATGTATTACCTTCCTATAAATTATTGCATTACCTTATTCAAATACGGCCATATCCCCGTTAGTATAATACTAAATCCCAAAGACATTAAAAACATGGTAAAATAGATAACTTTTATGGAGCGCCATCTCATGCGGTATTCATCCAAAGTTTCCAAACCATCATCCACTTCGGAGGGAATTTTGGTGGTACGAAAACGATTGCGAAATTTATTTAAACCTTCCATTTTTGCTGGTATTTAGGAGTAGCAAGGATACTTAGACAGACAACAAGCAGCAGCTTAACAAAATATTTGTTAAGATTTTAGGACAATCTAAAAAGTTGGGAAAAAAATATGTTAATGACTGATTAATTATTAGCTAAGGTTAGTTAATTACTTGTTAATTTATTAATACATAAATTGTTTAATAATTGGTCCATTTTGCTGGAAGATTTATTGTATGCTGAACAGATGTTTTCAACATTATTATGACGTTTTATTAAAGTTTTTCAAAAGCTTTCATGTTAAAAGTTTTTTATGTTGTGGTATGCTAAAGGAAAAAGCTTTAAGCGACATTTCTGCATTAGAAAAGGGTCCTAGGAGTGAAAAGTTAATAATTTTAAAATACGTAATGTACATTTAATGGCAATTCCTTCTAAACCGAAATTATTTGCCAATCATGGTTCTTACTATACCGAACTTTTAGTAAAATTCTAATTGTGGTGCTGATAAAATCTATAGAATAAAAGACTATATATATATATAGTCCATAATCTGAACAAAATTCTACAACTATTCCGGTCATTAGTCAATAGCCAGCACTATAGTCTGGACAACAGTCTAGTCTATAGTTTAGACTATATTGTAACCTATAGTTTGGACTTAGTCTAGAACTAGAACTGAGGTAGAACTGAAGTAGAACTGAACTAGAACTGAACTAGAACTGAACTAGAACTGAACTAGAACTGAACTAGAACTGAACTATAACTGAAATAGAACTGAACTAGAACTGAACTAGAACTGAACTAGAACTGAAGTAGAACTGAACTAAAACTGAACTAGAACTGAACTAGAACTGAACTAGAACTGAACTAGAACTGAACTAGAACTGAACTAGAATTGAACTAAAACTGAACTAGAAGCGAACTAGAACTGAACTAGAACTGAACTAGAACTGAACTAAACTGAACTAGAACTGAACTAGAACTGAACTAGAACTGAACTAGAACTGAACTAGAACTGAACTAGAACTGAACTAGAACTGAACTAGAACTGAACTAGAACTGAACTAGAACTGAACTAGAACTGAACTAGAACTGAACTAGAACTGAACTAGAACTGAACTAGAACTGAACTAGAACTGAACTAGAACTGAACTAGAACTGAACAAGAACTGAACTAGAACTGAACTAGAACTGAACTAGAACTGAACTAGAACTGAACTAGAACTGAACTAGAACTGAACTAAAACTGAACTAGAACTGAACTAGAACTGAACTAAAACTGAACTAGAAGCGAACTAGAACTGAACTAGAACTGAACTAGAACTGAACTAGAACTGAACAAGAACTTAACTAGAATTGAACTAGAACTGAACTGGAACTAAACTAGAACTGAACTAAAACTGAACTAGAACTGAACTAGAACTGAAGTAGAACTGAACTAAAACTGAACTAGAACTGAACTAGAACTGAACTAGAACTGAGAACTGAACTGGAACTGAACTAGAACTGAACTAGAACTGAACTAAAACTGAACTAGAACTGAACTAGAACTGAACTAGAACTGAACTAGAACTGAACTAGAACTGAACTAGAACTGAACTAGAACTGAACAAGAACTGAATTAGAATTGAACCAGAACTGAACTAGAACTGAACAAGAACTGAACAAGAACTGAACAAGAACTGAACTAGAACTGAACTAGAACTGAACTAGAACTGAACTAAAACTGAACTAGAACTGAACTAGAACTGAACTAGAACTGAACTAGAACTGAACTAGAACTGAACTAGAACTGAACTAGAACTGAACTAGAACTGAACTAGAACTGAACTAGAACTGAACTAGAACTGAACAAGAACTGAACAAGAACTGAACTAGAACTGAACTGGAAATGAACTAGAACTGAACTAGAACTGAATTAGAACTGAGCTGGAACTGAACTAGAACTAGAATTGAACTAGAACTGAACTGGAACTGAACTGGAACTGAACTGGAACTGAACTGGAACTGAACTAGAACTAGAACTGAGCTAGAACTAAACTAGAACTGAACTAGAATTGAACTAGAATTGAACTAGAACTGAACTAGAACTGAACTAGAACTGAACCAGAACTGAACCAGAACTGAACTAGAACTAGAATTGAACTAGAACTGAACTAGAACTGGACCTGAACCAGAACTGAACTAGATCTGAACTAGAACAAGAGCTGAACTAGGACTGAACTAGAACTGAACTAGAACCGAACTAGAACCAAACTAGAACTGAACTAGTACAGAACTAGAACAGAACTAGAATAGAGCTAGAAATGAACTAGAACTAAACTAGAACTGAAACATAACTAATATATATGTAACTATTCTATGGTTGGACTTTAGTCTAGTTTATACTCCGGACTATAGTCCCTACTATAGTGTAGTCTATAGCCTTTGACATAATTTTAATTTTGAAGTTTTATATTTCTGCTCACGATATTCTGTCATCATAAATCACTCAAGAACCGGAAGGTACACAACAACATGTAGCTTTTGCCTTTTAACAAACATGTTTAAATATTCATTAATTATTTAATTCTATTTTTTATTTTGCAAACTAATTTGGGAAAACGTGTGCATATTTCTAAAACCGTTTGCAAACATGTTTCTATTGTTTGTGGGTTAAATAAATAATAATATAAATGAAAGTCACCACAATAAATGATAACAAAAACAACGAACAATTTATCAATTAAATTGTTAATAAAACAAATTAATTGTATAAAAATCAATCAATTTAAATATAGATAAATCTAGCAATTAAACAAAATTAATTGGAATAGTTGCACTTATTAAGCAATTAAGTAATTTCCAAGTTCAACTAGAATAGAAATGGAAATTACCTATAAAATTAGAAAAAAGCTTTTCTTTTTATCAGCTTTTAATTAGCTTAATATTTCAACTGATACCGATAATTTCAATTTGCTAATTCCTATCTTCAATTAAGGCTAATAAAACCTAAAACCTAACTAAAATCAACAGCTGGCTGCCTAACTGACTGGTCTGCTGATATTTTAATCAGTTTAAAATTTCTATAGTCGTAATACTCCTCAAACAATAAATGCCCTTACAGCCATAGCTACTAAAAATATACTCGGAACCATATTTTTAGCGGTTTTTTTTTATAACAACTTTATCAGCAACGTTTTAAATGACAATACAAAAAAGTCATTTATCAGTAGATTTATCAAAAATTTTACTTTTTCAATTATATATTAAGTAATTCGCATGTAAGGGAATGATTAAAAATAGAAATAATGCTGAAAACTAAAATATATTTTATTCAAATTACATTTCTTACCTTCCTAAAGGTCAAGTAAATACATTTCCTATGTGTAATATATCAATGTTTTTTGTCAATTATTTTGTTTTTATTAAATTTAAATAATAAAATTTTTCGCTTTTATCTTTTAAAGGCCAAAATAAATATTTTCTTAAGGTTTATCTTCAAAGTGTTTTTATTATATTTTATTTTCTATTTAGTTTGGGTTAATAAAAATGATTTAGTATAAAACATTATAGTCGTGACGTTTGAATTTAATCATAATAATAACACATCGCATGTGAATATTTAAAATTTTTTTTAAAGCAGAAAATAAAATTTTTTAACTGCAAAAAGATTTAACACTAGTAGAATCCTAAATTTAAGCTAGAAATGAAATAGAACAGAACTAGGACTTAACAAAGCTAGAACGGAACTAATATAGAACCCGAACATAACTGGAACAGAACTAGAACAAAACCAGAACTGAACTAGAACTGAAACAGAACAGAACTAGAACAGAACTAGAACAGAACTAGTTCTAGTTCAGTTCAGTTTTAGTTCAGTTCTAGTACAGTTCTAGTTCAGTTGTAGTTCAGTTGTAGTTCAGTTCTAATTCAGTTCTAATTCAGTTCTAATTCAGTTCTAATTCAGTTCTAGTTCAGTTCTAATGCAGTTCTAGTTCTGAACTAGAACAGAACCAGAACGGAACTAGAACAGAACTAGAACAGAACCAGAACAAGAACAGAACTAGAACAGAAGTAAGAACTAGAACTGAACTAGAACTGAACTAGGACTGAACTAGAACTAGAACAGAACTAGAACAGAACTAGAACAGAACTAGAACAGAACTAGAACAGAACTAGAACAGAACTAGAACAGAACTAGAACAGAACTAGAACAGAACTAGAACAGAACTAGAACAGAACTAAAACAGAACTAGAACTAGAACAGAACCAGAACAGAACTAGAACAGAACTAGAACAGAACTAGAACAGAACTAGAACAGAACTAGAACAGAACTAGAACAGAACTAGAACAGAACTAGAACAGAACTAGAACAGAACTAGAACAGAACTAAAACAGAACTAAAACAGAACTACAACAGAACTAGAACAGAACTAAAACAGAACTAGACCAGAACTAAAACAGAACTAAAACAGAACTAGAACAGAACATAACTAGAACAGATCTAGAACAGAAATAGAACCCAACTAGAACTGAACTAGAACTGAACTAGAACTGAGCTAGAACTGAACTAGAACTGAACTAGAACTGAACTAGAACTGAACTAGAACTGAACTAGAACTGAACTAGAACTGAACTAGAACTGAACTAGAACTGAACTAGAACTGAACTAGAACTGAACTAGAACTGAACTAAAACTGAACTAGAACTGAACTAGAAGTGAACTAGAACTGAACTAGAAGTGAACTAGAACTGAACTAGAACTGAACTAGAACTGAACTAGAACTGAACTAGAACTGAACTAGAACTGAACTAGAACTGAACTAGAACTGAACTAGAACTGAATTAGAACTGAACTAGAACTGAACTAGAACTGAACTAGAACTGAACTAGAACTAGAACTGGACTAGAACTGAACTAGAAATGAACTAGAACTGAACTAGAACTGAACTAGAACTCAACTAGAAATGAACAAGAACTGTACTAGAGCTGAACTAGAAGGAACTCAACTAGAACTGAACTAGAACAGAACCAGAGGTAAACTAGAAATAAACTAGAACTGAACTAGAGTTGATTTAGAATTGAACTAGAACTGGAACTGTACTAGAACTGATCTTGAACTGAACTAGAAGGAACTCAACTAGAACTAAACAAGAACTAACATAGAACTGAACTAGAACAGAATGAGAACAGAACCAGAGGTAAACTAGAAATAAACTAGAACTGAACTAGAGTTGATTTAGAATTGAACTAGAACTGAACTAGAATTAAACTAGAACTAAACTAGAACTGAACTAGAACTGTACTGGAACTGTACTAGAACTGACCTTGAACTGAACTAGAGCTGAAATAGAATTGAACTAGAACTGATCTAAAACTTAACTAGAACAGAACTAGAGCAGAACTAGAACTATACTGGAACTGCACTAGAACTGAATTAGATCGGAAATTGAACTGAATAAAAACGGAACTAGAACTGAACTATAGACTAGACTTTAGTCTAGACTAGTCTAGTCAATACAATAGACTATAGAATAACCTATAGTCCAGACTATAAACGGGACATATACTAAGCTATTGTCCTAAAAATAGTTTATAGATTATATGTATACTAAGCTAAATAGTACAGACTATGTGTGGTGCACATTCCTTCATCAAGTACTAGCATTTTTACTTTGTACATGGATTTTTGCAAATGCAAAAAATTAATATTCCACACCTACTTTTCGATAAATTTAAAAATAAAACTGCAGTTTGTATCTTAAGCTAAAAATAAAAAAAAATGAATTAAACACCACTTCAATGGAGATTTTCAGAGTATTAAACTGATTGATAACAGGTTTGTTTACTAATAAACACACACACATACTTTACTTTACATACTAATGTAAATAGAGAAATGAAGAAAACTAGTACAGAGAAGTATACTTACAAAATTACAGCAATAACAATGAGAAGAACTTTTAAGTACAAGTGCTGGGAGTAGACGACATCTTTGTTTACAATTTGTTCTGGTAAGTTGTTGTTTTTGTTGATATGATGATATGTAAGTTTTTTTTTTGTTATTATTTTGATTGTTTTGTTATGTTTATTCAATTGGTTTTTTATTTGTTTTGCTTTTTATTGTTGCTGTGTGTCGTTGTTTTTGTTTTACTGTTCTAATCAATGCATTTTGACACTTTTTTCATTTAGTTTTTATTATTGTGCGTGCTTGTGTTTTAATTTTAATAGATATGCGGTTTTTTATTTAAAATAATGCAATTTAAATAAATAATTTTCTATTGTTTAATTTAAAACAAAGTAGATTTTCTATTATTTTATAATATTTTTTTGTTAAAAATTAAAATATTTTTACTTGAAAAAACGTGGGTGCTTGTTAATTCTTTGTAATTTCTTTTGTTTTAAAAATTTAAATTAATTTTATATTATTTTTTTTTTTTGTAAAAATAGGCCATTCGATTTCCTTTTGTTGTTTTTTCTGTTACATTGACACCAAATAAAACGCATACTTATTTTCATTAATGGATTTGTATATTAAACATATTTGTTGTTAATTTAAATTTCTCAATTAATTTCTTTATTCTGGTGTTTTTTTTTTTTTTTTTTTCTTTTGTTTTTGTCTTATTTTTATTTATTATTTTCCTTTAGCGTACAACGACCCTTTAAGCAACACGATCACCAATAAACTGTCGTTCGTTGGTGTTATTACTTTTACAATATTCCATTTGAGTAGTGAGTGAGCGTTGTAGTACATATAGTTGCTGTTGTATCCATTCGATTTATTTGTTATCAGCAGCAGATTGTTTTGTTAGTAAAAACAAAAATCTCATTTTTTTTTCTTGTTGCTTGTGTTCTATTGGATTACTACCAAGTGGGTCTGTGCCAAGAGTAGTCAGAAACATGTTGTCTATCTATCTACCACTTTGTTGTAGACAAAATACTAGAATTTTGTTTACTATACGACGTACAGTTAACACTCTCCCACACTCTCTCGCCCCTCTTTGTTTAGGGAATCCATATTCATTCATGTGTGGGGCTAGTGGTGCTCAGTGGAGAAGTTGTTTTAAAAGAAAAAGTATGAAATTATTACTTTTCTGAGAGATTTTAAATGAAATGTTAAAATTCAACTCTTTCAGATGCGTTTTTTAGCAGTAGAGACCAACTAAATAGCACAGATAACACTGAAGACTATACTAGACTATAGTCTAGCCTAGTTTTGTTCGTTTAATTTCTTTTCAAGTTCTGTTCTAATTCTCTTCTAGTTCTGTCTTAGTTTTCGGTTCTAGTTTTGTTCTACATAGTTGTGTACTAGTTCTGTTCTAGTTTTGATCTAGTTCTGATCTAGTTCTAGTTCTGTTCTAGTTCTGTTCTAGTTCTGTTCTAGTTCTGTTCTAGTTCTGTTCTAGTTCTGTTCTAGTTCTATTCTAGTTCTGTTCTAATTCTGTTCTAGTTCTATTCTAGTTCTGTTCTACTTCTGTTCTAGTTCTATGAAGTTCTAGTTATGTTCTAGGTCTATTCTAGTTCTGTTCTAGTTATGTTCTAATTCTGTTCTAGTTCTGTTTTGTTCCTAGTTCTTGTTCTGTTCTGGTTCTAGTTCTGTTCTGGTTCTAGTTCTGTTCTGGTTCTGTTCTAGTTGTGTTCTAGTTCTGTTCTAGTTCTGGTTCTGTTCTAGTTCTGGTTCTGTTCCAGTACTGTTCTAGTCCTGTTATAGTTTTAGTTCTGTTCTAGTTCTGGTTCTGTTCTAGTTCTAGTTATGTTCTAGGTCTATTCTAGTTCTGCTCTAGTTCTAGTTCTGTTCTAGTTCTGTTCTATTTCTGTTCAAGTTATGTTCTAGGTCTATTCTAGTTCTGTTCTAGTTCTATTATATTTCTGTTCTAGTTCTGTTCTATTTCTGTTCTAGTTCTAGTTATGTTCTAGGTCTATTCTAGTTATGTTCTAGGTCTATTCTAGTTCTGTTCTGGTTCTGTTCTGGTTCTGTTCTAGTTATGTTCTAGGTCTATTCTGGTTCTGTTCTAGTTATGTTCTAGGTCTATTCTAGTTCTGTTCTAGTCCTGTTCTAGTTCTGTTCTAGTTCTGTTCTAGTTCTGTTCTAGTTCTGTTCTAGTTCTGTTCTAGTTCTGTTCTAGTTCTGTTCTAGTTCTGTTCTAGTTCTGTTCTAGTTCTGTTCTAGTTCTGTTCTAGTTCTGTTCTAGTTCTGTTCTAGTTCTGTTCTAGTTCTGTTCTGGTTCTAGTTCTGGTTCTGTTCTGTTCTGGTTCTGTTCTGGTTCTAGTTCTGTTCTGGTTCTAGTTCTGTTCTGGTTCTGTTCTAGTTCTGTTCTAGTTCTGTTCTAGTTCTGTTCTATTTCTGTTCTAGTTCTGCTCTAGTTCTGGTTCTGTTTTAGTTCTATTTGTGTTCTAGCTCTGTTCTAGTTCTGTTCTAGTTTTGTTCTAGTTCTGTTCTAGTTCTGTTCTAGTTCTGCTTAGTTCTGTTCTAGTTCTGTTCTAGTTCCGGTTCTAGTTCTGTTCTAGTCCTGTTCTAGTTCTGTTCTAGTTCTGTTCTAGTTCTGTTCTAGTTCTGTTCTAGTTCTGTTCTAGTTCTGTTCTGGTTCTGTTCTGGTTCTGTTTCAGTTCTAGTTCAATTCTAGTTCTGTTGTAGTTCTGTTCTAGTTCTAGTTCTGCTCTAGTTCTGGTTCTGTTTTAGTTCTATTTCAGTTCTAGTTCAATTCTGATTCAATTCTAGTTCTGTTCTAGTTCTATTATATTTCTGTTCTATTTCTGTTCTAGTTCTAGTTATGTTCTAGGTCTATTCTAGTTCTGTTCTGGTTCTGTTCTGGTTCTGTTCTAGTTATGTTCTAGGTCTATTCTGGTTCTGTTCTAGTTATGTTCTAGGTCTATTGTAGTTCTGTTCTAGTCCTGTTCTAGTTCTGTTCTAGTTCTGTTCTAGTTCTGTTCTAGTTCTGTTCTAGTTCTGTTCTAGTTCTGTTCTAGTTCTGTTCTAGTTCCGGTTCTAGTTTTGTTCTAGTTCTGTTCTAGTTCTGTTCTAGTTCTGTTCTAGTTCTGTTCTAGGTCTGTTCTGGTTCTGTTTCAGTTCTAGTTCAATTCTAGTTCTGTTTTAGTTCTGTTCTAGTTCTAGTTCTGCTCTAGTTCTGGTTCTGTTTTAGTTCTATTTCAGTTCTAGTTCAATTCTGATTCAATTCTAGTTCTGTTCTAGTTCTGTTCTAGTTCTGTTCTAGTTCTGTTCTAGTTCTGTTCTAGTTCTGTTCTAGTTCTGTTCTAGTTCTGTTCTAGTTTTGTTCTAGTTCTGTTCTAGTTTTATTCTAGTTCTATTCCAGTTCTATTCTAGTTCTATTCTAAATCTATTCTAGTTCTGTTCTATTTCAGCTCTTGTTCTGTTCTAGTTCTGTTCTAGTTTTGTTTTAGTCTTGTTCTAGTTCTGTTATAATTTAGTTCTTGTTCTGTTCCAGTTTTATTTTGGAAATAAAAATTTATTTTTTTTTTGTTTCTTTTACAATATTTTTATTAATTTTTTTTATTTAATTTTAGTTTAGTGTTTATTATTATTTTAACTTTATGTTTAGTTTGTTTTTTTTTTTACACAATACATAATTGTTGTTGTTATTTTTTATTATAATTAATAATTGCCACTAATAACTAAAGATTATTACATTCACTTCTAATGTTTTTTTGATAAAATATGTTGTTTTTATTATAATTTTTGTGTTTTTTGTTTTCATACTTAAATGCTAAATTTTGCTTGTAACAGTTTGTTTTTTTTTTTTTGTTTATATTTATTCAGTTTTTTTACAATAATCACTTTTTTCAACTCGTTTTTTTTTTTAATTTTGTTTATTTATTGTTTAAGTTTTAGTAAATAAAAGGAAATTTTTATAGTTAGCAACTGAAAAATTGAGTTTTAGTAAAGAAATAATGAGATAGTGATGATAGAGAAAGATGAGGCGAAAAAGAGAGTTTTAGAATTATAATTAGAAGTGTTTAGTTAGTTAGACTAGACTATAGTTTGGACTACAGAGCAGACTATAGTCCAGTTTATAGTTAAAACTATAGTCTAGTCCATAATTAAAACTATATACTCGTGTTTAATCTTGTCTAGTTTATTTCCATAAGTTTTTGTAAAGAAATTTGTTTTTTATTTAAAAATAAAGTTTAGTTTTTTTAATTTTGCAAATATTTTCAATTAGATACTGATTTAAAGTGCTTTTCTTTATTTTTTTTAATAAAATATATAAATCAATCGAAAATTTTCAAAAGAAATCTCTAAAAAATATTTAAAATTAAAAAAATTAGAACATAAAATTATCAATAAAATTAAATAACTAAATAATTTGTGTTAAACTATAACTTAATTAGAACTGTTTCAAAATTAAACAGATTTTAAAATTTTAATCACAAAATTCTGTTTTCACAAGAAATTACTTAAAAACCTTTTCATCTGTTTAATACTAAAACAAAACTATTAATAAAATAATATAATTATTGAGGAGTAATTAAAGTATTTTTTTCATAAATTTGATTTGTTTTGTTTTTTTTTATTTTAAAGATTCATAAGGAAAAGGCAGTTCAGATACATTTAATATTTTATTATTATTATTTTTTTAAATAACTTAAATATATCAACATTTAGTGCAATAATTTTTTTTTATTTTTTTCTGTAATAACACCAAAACATAAAACATTAGCATGTCCCGTAAATTTATCTTCATTAAAGACATATTTACGGGACATGCTAAACCGTTTGGTTAAAAATAAAAATTTGGCTTTTTCTTTTAAAGACTTCATCATAATTAATAAGTTTTATTTTTTTCAAATATTGCTGTGCATTAACTTGTTATCAAACAATTCGTTATGTATTTTATTATAATTCTTACTAATTTGCTCGCTTTTCTGTGTTTCTATTTACCAACAATATATTTGTTTTAAAGAGGCTTTTACTTAAGCTTTTGTTTTTTTTTTACAATTTCAATAAATTTCTTTTCAATAAATTCTTGTTTATAAATAATTCTTAATACAAAAAAAGAAGAATTATTTATAGAGATTTGTTATATAAAGATTCTTAGAGTCACCACTATCCAATCCCAATCAAACAACAGAATCTTTGCGTATCCTTTTATATAAAAACGGAAAATATATTTTATATCTTTTTCTATTTAAAGTTTGTGTTGTACTTACCACATATAATTTTCAGTTTGAGGGGCTCTCATTACACCCACACCACCGCCTAAGCGTCTATAGTTCATGCAACCACAAAGGCGCCATTGATTTGTTTCAGTATCATAAACTTCTATGGTTTTCAAATAGGCAGAACCATCAAAACCACCTACGGCATATAATTGGCCATTGACAACAGCCAAGCCGACCTAAAAATGAAGAAAAAAGAATTTAAAATACTTTAGAAAAGAACTAGAACTGTTTGAAAACAGAACTGGAACTGCACTAGAACTGAACTAAAACCCAACTAAAACTGAACTAGAACTGAACTAGATCTGAACTAGAACTGCAATAGAACTGAACTAGAAATTAACTAGAATTGAAATAGAACTGAACTAGAACTGAACTAGAACTGAACTAGAACTGAACTAGAACTGAACTAGAACTGAACTAGAACTGAACTAGAACTGAACTAGAACTGAACTAGAACTGAACTAGAACTGAACTAGAACTGAACTAGAACTGAACTAGAACTGAACTAGAACTGAACTAGAACTGAACTAGAACTGAACTAGAACTGAACTAGAACTGAACTAGAACTGAACTAGAACTGAACTAGAACTGAACTAGAACTGAACTAGAACTGAACTAGAACTGAACTGAACTAGAACTGAACTAGAACTGAACTAGATCTGTACTAGAACTGAACTAGAACTGTACTAGAACTGAAATAGAACTGAACTAGAAATGAACTAGAACTGAACTAGAACTGAATTAGAACTGAACTAGATCTGAACTAGAACTGAACTAGAACAAAAATAGAACAGAACTAGAACAGATCAAGGACAGAACTAGAACAGAACTAGAACAGAACTAGAACAGAACTAGAACAGAACTAGAACAGCACTAGAACAGAACTAGAACAGAACTAGAACAGAACTAGAACAGAACTAGAACAGAACTAGAACAGAACTAGAACAGAACTAGAACAGAACTAGAACAGAACTAGAACAGAATTAGAACACAACTAGAACAGAACTGGAACAACTAGAACAGAACTAGAACTAGATCAGAACTAGAATAGTACTAAAACTAAACTTGAACTGTACTACAATTGAACAGGAACTGATCTATTGAACAAAAACTGAACTAGTCTAGTCTATAGTCTAGTCTATAGTCTAGTCTATAGTCTAGTCTATAGTCTAGTCTATAGTCTAGTCTATAGTCTAGTCTATAGTCTAATCTATAGTCTAGTCTATAGTCTAGTCTATAGTCTAGTCTATAGTCTAGTCTATAGTCTAATCTATAGTCTAGTCTATAGTCTAGTCTATAGTCTAGTCTATAGTCTAGTCTATAGTCTAGTCTATAGTCTAGTCTATAGTCCAGTCTATAGTCTAGTCTATAGTCTAGTCTATAGTCCAGTCTATAGTCTAGTATATAGTTTAGTCTATAGTCTAGTCTATAGTCTAGTCTATAGTCTAGTCTATAGTCTAGTCTATAGTCTAGTCTATAGTCTAGTCTATAGTCTAGTCTATAGTCTAGTCTATAGTCTAGTCTATAGTCTAGTCTATAGTCTTGTCTAAAGTCTTGTTTAAAGTCTTGTCTATAGTCTAGTCTATAATCTAGTCTAATCTATAGTCTTGTCTATAGTCTAGTCAATAGTCTAGTCTATAGTCTACTCTATAGTCTAGTCTATAACCTTGTCTATAGTCTATTCTATAGTCTACTCTATAGTCTAGCCTATAACCTAGTTTATAGTCTAGTCTATAGTCTAGTTTATAGTCTAGCCTATAGTCTAGTCTATAGTCTAGCCTATAGTCTAGCCTATAGTCTAGCCTATAGTCTAGCCTATAGTCTAGTCTATAGTCTAGTCTATAGTCTAGTCTATAGTCTAGTCTATAGTCTAGTCTATAATGTAGTCTTTAGTCTAGTCTATAGTCTAGTCTATAGTCTAGTCTATAGTCTAGTCTATAGTCTAGTCTATAGTCTAGTCTGCAGTCTAGTCTATAGTCTAGTCTATTCTATTCTATAGTCTTGTCTATAGTCTAGTCTATAGTCTTGCCTAAAGTCTGATCTATATATTCCATACTATAGTCTATAGATCTTTATAAAATTTTCTACTTACACCACTGCGTCGCGATGTCATAGCAACAATAGGACTCCAAGTATTTGTATGAGGATTATAACGTTCGGCGGAGGACAGTTCCATGCAATCATCACGACCACCAACGGCATAAATATAATTATTAAAAACAGCACAGCCCAAATGTTTGCGGCGTGTGGACATGGGACTAACAGCCACCCATTTGTTTTGTCTATAAAAAAACAACAACCAAAATTTTTAATAAAACTATAAAACCAAAAAGAAACAAACAAAACCCACCTGGGATCATAACGTTCTACAGTATTCAAAGGACATTGGCCATCCGAGCCACCGATGGCATAAAGATAACCGCCTAAAACAGCAACAGCCACACCCAAACGTCTGGTAGTCATAGGGGCCACCTAAAAAAGCAATAAGTCGTTAAAAAAAATCCTTTAGAGGATAAGAAGACTTAAAGAAATTACCTTTGACCATTTATTTTCTTTGGGATCATAACGTTCCACATGATTCAAACACTGTACACCATCTTGACCACCCACAGCATAAAGAAAACCATCTAGAACAGCTACACCCACACTCGTGCGACAAGAGGTAGTAGGAGCAACATCACAAGACCATTGATTTGTCTGCGGATCATAACGTTCTATACTATTCAAATAACTCTGACCATCATGACCGCCCACGGCATAAAGTAAATCATTGAGTACGGCCACACCTACACCACAACGTCGTTTACTCATGGGTGCTACCATTTTCCAATCATTTGTTTGAGGATCAAAACGTTCTACGGAGGCAATAGCATCACCGGAACACCAACCACCGACAGCGAATAAAACTTCACCACGGCGAGTGGGTTTACGTGGACGTGTACGAGGTCCCTGCATAAGGGGACGTTCTTGGGGAAGTAATAAATAGTTTTTGGCTTCGTCGACCAGATCACGACAGGCCTCATCGGAACGCACCAAAAGGTCAGAGCCGACGGTGCCAACTAAAAATTTAGGTGATAAAAGTGGAAGACGGACATGTTGTAAAACCTGAAAGAGGGGAATGAATGATTAGAAATGAACTGGAATAAAACTAGAACTAAACTAGAACTGACATAGAACTAGAACTGAACTAGAACTGAACTAGAACTGAACTAGAACTGAACTAGAACTGAACTAGAACTGAACTAGAACTGAACTAGAACTGAACTAGAACTGAACTAGAACTGAACTAGAACCTAACTAGAACCTAACTAGAACTAAACTAGAACTGAATTAGAACTGAACTAGAACTGAACTAGAACTGAACTAGAACTGAACTAGAACTGAACTAGAACTAAACTAGAACTGAACTAGAGCTGAATTAGAACTGAACTTGAACTGAACTAGAACTAAACTAGAACTGAACTAAAACTGAACTAAAACTGAACTAGAACTTGAACTAAACTTTTTTTTTTAATTATTAATATAACCCACCTGAGCTAAATGTTGTCTTCGATCGGCAATATTATATTTCAACCATGACATTACAGCATTAAATACCTGCTCCTCTGAACGTACATTCAACTCATCACTGCATATAATATCAACCAACTGGCCAACAGGCAACAAAAGAAACTCTTCACTTTCCATTACCTCTTGGAAATTATGTTGTGTAAATTTATCAGCAATACGCAACAATTCACGACATGAATGAGTATCGGCAAAAGCTCGTATACCCAAACAATTGGTGGGATCCAATTGACGTTTGAGAAATTCACAACAAATATCTTGAATCTCTACCAATTGAAGCAAACAAGCGGCTGGCAATAGTGTTTGAACATTCGACTCTTCCACTACTATATGAGCAGTATAACAAAAATCTATTAATAGTTCCATGGCATTCTCATCTATGTCACGTATAGTGACCTCAGTTTGACGTGACTCCTCCAATTCACCCGTAAACATGGCGCGAAAATACGGTGAACATGCAGAGAGTATAACACGATGTGCGAAGATTTTACGACCGCCAACGTTAAGGACAACATCGCATAGTTCACGATGTCTACGTAACATATTTAATTCGGATAGTGTAACTTTGGGATGCTTATCGGAAGTATGGGCCATACGAGCTGGCGATTGTGGTCTATCCACACCACTACCGCCAGCTGTAGCGCCCGTACCGCCATTGGCTCCCGGCAGTAGGGGATCACCCATTCTATTTGCTGCTAAACGCAGCGGGGCAGAAGCCCAACCCCACACCGCGTCTATCTGTTTGTGGATGAAAATTAAAAATATAATAAAAATAAATATTAATTTAATTTTTTTTTTGGAAAGTTCATGTATATTTTGCAAATAAATTTTATTAAGAAATGATTTCATTAACAGTTTATTGTTTAATAAATACAGTTACATATTTTTGTGTTTAATTTATTTGAAAACTAAATAAAGAAAACTCACGCAAATGCGGTGGACGTGAGTTTAGTTATAAAGACTTTTAAGTGACCTACAACAAGAAAGAAAAGCCTTTTTGTTAAAGATCTAATTTATAGAAATTTTCTATTTTTGCTTAAATGTCTAATTCATTACAATTTTCTTTTCTTTCCCTTATTCTAACCATCTTCTCATTACTTTTATATCAAACCTTTTGCACTACTTAACATGCCGCATCTTTTTCACATAACTGTCTGTAGACTGCCCAACCAATAATAATAAATAAATTATATGTATTTTAGTTTATTTTAAGAAACAAATAAAAGATCACGTGCATAGAAAACAATGATTTTTTTGATTTCTTTATAAAAATAAAAGAAAGAAATTAAAATGGCCAAATAATATTAAAAGTGTCTATAAATAGATACAAGAAATAAAGCAACAACTCAAATATAATATATACTAAACGCCTGTATAAATTGAAACCTCTTTATAGAAATGTGAACAGAATATTTTATAAATGAACTTTTTATAAAATCTCATTTAGTTTCCCGCTAAATTAGTATTGTTTATAATGATCTAAATTAAGTGGGAAGAGGATAATTTTGGAGCTAAAGTAATTTAGTTTTGGTTCAGTTCTAGTTGAGTTTTTGTTTCATATCTAGTTCAGTTATAGTTAAGTTCCAGTTCAGTTCTAGTTCTGTTATAGTTCAGTTCTAGTTCAGTTCAGTTCTAGATCAGTTATAGTTCAGTTTTGGTTCAGTTCTAGTTTAGTTTTAGTTCAGTTCTAGTTCAGTCTAGTTTAGTTCAGTTCTAATTCAGTTCTAGTTCAGTTCTAATTCAGTTCTAGTTCAGTTCTAATTCAGTTCCAGATCAGTTCTAGTTGAGTTCTAGTATTGTACAAGTTCCGTTCTAGTGTAGTTCAATTTCCGTTCTAGTTCAGTTCTAGTTAAGTTCTAGTTCTGTTCTAGTTCAATTCTAGTACAGTTTTAGTTCAGTTCTAGTTCGGTTCTAGTTCTGTTCTAATTTAGTTCTAGTTCTGTTCTAGTTCTGTTCTAGTTCTGTTCTAGTTCTGTTCTAGTTCTGTTCTAGTTCTGTTCTAGTTCTGTTCTAGTTCTGTTCTAGTTCTATTCTAGTTCTATTCTAGTTCTGTTCTAGTTCTATTCTAGTTCTAATTCAGTTCTAGATCAGTTCTAGTTCTGTTCTAGTTCTGTTCTAGTTCTGTTCTAGTTCTGTTCTAGTTCTGTTCTAGTTCTGTTCTAGTTCTGTTCTAGTTCTGTTCTAGTTCTGTTCTAGTTCTGTTCTAGTTCTGTTCTAGTTCTGTTCTAGTTCTATTCTAGTTCTATTCTAGTTCTGTTCTAGTTCTAGATCACTTCTAGTTCTCTTCTAGTTCTGTTCTAGTTCTGTTCTAGTTCTGTTCTAGTTCTGTTCTAGTTCTGTTCTAGTTCTGTTCTAGTTCTGTTCTAGTTCTGTTCTAGTTCTATTCTAGTTCTGTTCTAGTTCTCTTCTAGTTCTGTTCTAGCTCTGTTCTAGTTCTGTTCTAGTTCTGTTTTAGTTCTGTTCTAGTTCAGTTCTAGTTAAGTTCTAGTTCTGTTCTAGTTCAGTTCTAGTACAGTTTTAGTTCAGTTCTAGTTCTGTTCTAGTTCAGTTCTAGTTAAGTTCTAGTTCTGTTCTAGTTCAGTTCTAGTACAGTTTTAGTTCAGTTCAAGTTCAGTTCTAGTTCAGTTCTAGTTCAGTTCTAGTTCAGTTCTAGTTCAGTTCTAGTTCAGTTCTAGTTAAGTTCTAGTTCAGTTCTAGTTCAGTTCTAGTTCGAATCTAGTTCTATTCTAGTTCGAATCTAGTTCTGTTCTAGTTCTATTCTAGTTCTATTCTAGTTCTGTTCTAGTTCTGTTCTGTTCTAGTTCTGTTCTAGTTCTGTTCTAGTTCTGTTTTAGTTCTGTTCTAGTTCTGTTCTGGTTCTATTTTAGTTCTCTTCTAGTTCTGTTTTAGTTCTGTTCTAAGTCTTTTCGAGTTCAGTTCTAGTTTTGTTCTAAATCACTTCTAGTTCTATTCTAGTTACGTTTTAACAAAGTTTTATACAAACTAGAGTTCGCCCCGCGGCCGAAATTCGACCGGAACCATTGAAGAAAATATTGCATACTTATGCTGCAAAATAAATCCCTACTTTTATAGTTCAAATGTCTTTAAAAAAATATTCCTATTACTATTATCAAGGTGTAAAACTTGCTTTGATCAACGTGATCAATGTGATAAAATTTGGTTAAATTCTGAAAGAAGTTTAAAATCTAAGTTCTAAAATTATTTATGCAACATACTTTTCAAAAATATTTCTATTTATTATCCTCTACATAAATGTTTATAAAATCTATGTAAAACTTACAATATGATATATGTATTCATTCTTTACAATATGATATTTTCCTATGTTTAACAATCTGCCATCTGCCTTGTCGTAAACAATGTCGAACCTGCCCAGCACTATTCCTTTGTAACCTGTAATAATATTCAAGCTATATCTCTATATCCCAGCAAAAAAAAGAAAAGACCTACAGAAGTATTTTTCTGTAGGTCTTTTCTTTATAGGCGGAATGTCTCTTTTATTTGATTCCAAATTCATTACTCCTGAAGTCATTCTCAAGAATAAATTTTTATAATATATTTTTTATAGTTATTTGGAAGTGAAATTGTAATTTTTTAAGAGGAATCAGAAAAGTACAAACCCCTAAAAATATTTTCAATAGGGCTGTAACAATTGAATTCGAAAAATCATTATTTGTTTATGATACTATCCAATTTTGTTTTTTGATTTTTATAGCTGACAGATAACAAAACAAAAATAGATTAATATTCTCAAGAGCGCACAGAATCCAAACCTATAAGCATTTTTTCAAAACTGGACATATGTAGATTTTAATGACCAAAATTCAACATATCTTCTGTGTTTTCATCTTTTGTAACTATGTTGTTGCGCAGAAGGTAGACTTGAAGTAGTCCTTCAAAAGTATATTGCAAATTACGATCTAACAAAATGTCATTTAAAATTAAATTTTTCAATTATTGCTATCACGACTGTAAAAGGATTTCATTTCGATCAAAAGTGGAATTATTTCCGGGTTTTTGTTTTTTGAATAAACCACTTTCAATTTTTAAAGTGGGATGTTTTAAATTATTGTTTTTTTAAGTTTTAATAAATATCTTTACTTAAATAACTCCATTTTAGATCGGAATGTGTTTTTGGAACAGGAGTATATATATTATATATTATCTCTATAAGAAATAAATAAATTTTGCTGCCTTTTGTATAAAAAGTCCATCCTTCAGGGTTATGTTGTATAAATTCTCCCTTATAACACTCAATAAAGACTTCTTTCAGCTGACTTACTACTTATTTGGCTTAAATTTAAATGTTTTTAATCGAATTTAATAGTAGATATTCTATGAAGCTGTACTACTTATAGGCCTTTAAGCGAAGACCTTTTAATAGGCATTCTATTAGCTTTCGCATAGAAGTGCATAGGCAAGAGAGATTTTGCAACAGGGATTTATTCTTGTATCTGGAGAATAAGACTTAAACGCCTCTTTACTTCAAGAGTTTGTCCATGATTTAGTTATTATTTAATTTTTCATAATTATTTAAGTACTTCTTAAGAAATGTTTGAAAGAAAACGTTAATAAACTATAAATTCCAGCCTTATATTAACATATGTAAGTTTAATTGCAAGTAAAAGAATAGTAAACGATAAATTGCTAAAGGTGGTATTAGACGACATGTATTTTACTCTAATACCACCTTAAGAAAGGGCAGTCATCAACCATAATTTATATTTGACCCGTTTCAACATTTTTCTATTTTTATAAAACATCGCCTACACTACAGTTTTCACTTTACACTACTATTTCAACAACCGCCTTTTTCCTAATTGGTTAGAATAACCAGAAAAAGAAGAATATCATCAAATACTCACTGTGCTAAACCTACGTATTAGCGATATACTGATTCATTTATTACGGTGTATCATGTACCGACATGACAAACTAAACTATCCTACTTATATTTTAAAAGGCTTTGTTTTTGTCCATCATTAAAATCTTTAAAATCAATAAAAACTAACATTTATGTAGAATTGTTGTCCCACCAATGTTTCCCAGGTCAAACATCATCATCCTCTTGTATCTTACATCATTAATATAATAATATATCATTATTACATTCAAAATTTATCACTTTACACTTTTAAAAAATAAAAAACAATAAAATCATATTTTCGCTTTGTCTAAGCCTCTACACTTATTAGTTTACAAAAATCTTATTAAAAACAACAACAAAAAATATCATTGCAATTTGCAAAATACAAAAATAAACCATCAACAGAGAAGTAACATGTTTTTACACTCTCCTCTCTTTTATGAAAAAAAAAGTTTTGTTGTTTTGCTTACTTATTTTGTTTTCTATTTTTTAATTCAAGCACATGTTTGTGTGATTGTGTATTGGTAGAAACTTTAAACGCTTATATTTCCGAAAATACTGAACCGATTTTGATCATATATAGATTCTGCAGTGAGGCTAGCGAATCTGCATTCATCAAAAAAAGAATCAAGAAAATCGGTCAAGTAATAGAGCCGGAAAATGTTCCCAATCGTTTTGGCTTTGCGTATTTATATATATGATGATGATTTGATAATACTCATACCTCTAGTGGACTATGTTGAAACTTGTACATTTTCTTTTGAAATCAAAATCTTTAACTAAACAGCCTTCCTTAGTTAGATAATTACCTCATCCTTAACGACAAAAAGGCCATTCCCTGACCTAAATTTTGAAACAATTTAAAATAAAAAACAAATAAACAACATGAAATTTTTATGAATTTAAAAATAAACTTTTGAAAAAATCTAATTGGAATTTGTACATGAAACTATTTAATGAAAAGAAAACTTCCTATTACAACTGAACAACTATGGCAGCTATAAAAAGACCACATAGACACACACACACGCACACACCCATAGACCCTTAAGAGCCGTGGGCCCTACAGACACAATACAAATTACAACACAAGGAACAGCTGTAGACAGCCAGACTATTTTTTATAGAAAATAAAATTCTTGATTTCTTATAAGAATCTTTTTTCCTTATAAGATCAAATACAACCACATACCTTTGCGTCTTTTTGTTCCACAGGAAAACCAACAATACCACAACACCACCAGCTCGCCCAACAGGCAGAAGCTTTCGAAAATGCAATTTTCGTTGCTTCCTTTACTAAGAGACTTTTAAACTAACATTTGTTTTGTTTTATCAAATGGTTGTAAAATGCACAAACAATTATTACTTTTTTTTATTAATTTTTTATTTTAATTTTACAATTGTAATGTTGTAATTGTAATAATAAAATAAAATCTATAATTTTTTTTTCTTTCTTTTTTCCACTTCTTTTCTCACTACACCTTAAATTTTATGTACACAATGGTTTTTGATTTGTTTTTCTTTAAAGCAATTTTTCAATGTTTTGCTTTTGTTTATTTCTATAGATTTTATATATTTTCGTTGACAGCATTATTATATTTTATGTTTTTATTGGTTTTGTAGTTTTAAAACTATTATTAGTTGTTTATTTTGTGAAAAAATTGAAGAAAATGAACTGAATTTTCCAAATTTACTTTTAATTCTTCGCCTTCTTCTTTTTTTTAGATTTTCGCTACACTTCATTTGTCACAGCGCAGTTGCTTATTAAGGTAGTAAAATGTTGGTTTTGAGGCAGGGTTGGTAATATGTGTAGTTTTGTAGATAAAATGTACAGAAGGTATTTTTGTCAGAAAACATTATTCAGTTCAGTTCTAGATTAATTTTAGCTCAGTTCTAGTTTATTCCTAGTTCAGTTAAAGTTCCAATTCATTAATTATATATCTCATATATTGGTATATCAATATATCTTGCCTTTTATCTAGTTCAGTTGTAGTTAAGTTCTAGTTCAGTTGTATTTCAGTTCTAGTTCAGATCGAGTTCCGTTGTAGTTTAGTTTTAGTTCAGTTCTAGTTCATTTCTAGTTTAGGTCTAGTTCAGTTCTAGTTACAGTTCCAGTTCAATTCCAATTCTAGTTCTCATTAGGGTTCTATAGTTGAAACGAAAAGTCGACTTTTCGACTTTTTGCATTTAGTTAAAAGTCGACTTTTCGACCTTTCGACTTTTTCCATTTTATGAAAAGTCGATTTTTCGACTTTTCGACCTTTTTCATTTATTTAAAAGTCGACTTTTAGACTTTTCGACTTTTAGTATTTTATAAATGGTCGACTTTTCGACTTTTTCCGACTTTTTTCGACTATTTTTTACTTTTTTCGAGTTTTTCCGACTATTTTAGAGTTTTTGACCTCTTTTCCACTTTTTTAAAATTTTCGACTATTTTCGACTTTTCGACTTTTTTCGACTTTTCGACTTTTTCCGACTTTTCCGACTTTTCGACTTTTCGACCTTTTTCGACTTATCGACTTTTTTCGACTTTTCGACTTTTTTCGACTTTTTTCGACATTCCGACTTTTCGACTTTTTTGGACTTTTATTTACAAAGTCGACTTTTCGACTTTTTTCATAGACGATAGTCGAGTTATCGACTTTTTTGGAACAAAATAGTCGACTTCGACTTTTTTCGACAAAAAGTCGATTGTTCGATTATTCGAAAGTCGATTTATAGAACCCTAGTTCTCATGCCTTTTAGATATAACGGTATTCATTTATTTACCAAATATTTGTATCACCCTGTTTCGCAGTACTAAAACATATATCACTCTATCCTACTACTATTTTGTACAACTGCTCTCCTCAGGCACACAAACAAACAGACAGGAGAAATTAATAGAAAGAACAACAGCAACAACAAAAAAAGCTGATAAAAAATAGAAAGCAAATATTATAGTCGTTTTTAACAATTAAAACAAAGCAAAATAACAAAAAATTATTAATAATTAATAAACAACTATTAATAAATAAATTTATAGAACATTTAATAAAATGCAAAGTGTTTTAAATACCGTAAAGGGCACAGCCCTAAACGTAGCCGAATATTTGACACCAGTTTTAAAGGTAATAGAAAGAAAAAAAAAGTACAAAAAAAAACTAATATTAATGTCAGACGTCTGACATAAGCCAAGCGGGTGGTTGCAACACAAAGTGAATATCAGCTGCAGTGCCTTTAAAGTGGGTTAAAAGGCAATCTTCCATGATAAGTTGTGTTATTAATGTTCCGGAACCTGAATATCGGCTTTGAAAACAGTAGAAATTTTCATATTGTTTATGTATCTGTTTACTAGAAAATGTCTTGCAGCTGACTGCGCTGCAACTGTAGTGTTTGTGTTTTATTTACATCTTGAGGTGTATATTTGAGCTGGCTGTTGATACGTCTCAAGATGCACCAAATATGAGTCATTGTTGTTTTTTTTAAGATTTGGCTTTTGTTTTTTTAATATAGGAATCAAAATTTCGTGAAACGGGTGTCTTGACTCCTGAAGAATTTGTAGCCGCTGGAGATCATTTGGTTCATCACTGCCCTACCTGGCAGTGGGCCGCCGGTGATGATAATAAAACCAAATCGTATTTGCCTAAGGGTAAGGATTAGTATATTAGCTAGATTTAATAAATGTTTATAACATTTTATTGACGATTTTGTTATCTTTTCAAAAAATCTATTGCTTTTAATTTATTATCAACATTTTTTGTTTAAAACTTTTCTTTTTGATAACAAAATTGCGCATTTTTTACAATTTTTTCAAAAACTTTAAAATATTTCATAAAAATATAGTTTAGTTCTAGTTAAGTTCCAGTTTAGTTCTACTTTAGTTCTAGTTCAGTTCTCTAGTTCATTACTAATTCTGTTCTATTTCAGCACTAATTCAGTTTAAGTTCATTTCTTATTCAGTTCTAGTTTAGTTCAATTTCAGTTCTAGTTCAGTTCTAGTGCAGTTCTAGTTCTAGTTCAGTTCTAGTTCAGTTCTAGTTCAGTTCTAGTTCAGTTCTAGTTCAGTTCTAGTTCAGTTCTAGTTCAGTTCTAGTTCAGTTCTAGTTCAGTTCTAGTTCAGTTCTAGTTGAGTTCTAATTGAGTTCTAGTTGAGTTCTAGTTCAGTTCTAGTTCTGTTCTAGTTCAGTTCTAGTTCAGTTCTAGTTCAGTTCTAGTTCAGTTCTAGTTCAGTTCTAATTCAGTTCTAATTCAGTTCTAGTTCAATTCTAGTTTAGTTCAGTTCTAGTTTACTTCTTGTTGAGCTCTAATTCAGTTCTAGTTTAGTTCTAGTTCAGTGCTAATTAGGTCCTAGTTTAGTTCTCATCTAGTTCTTTAAATATATGTCTTCTTAAAAATATATCTTCTCTTCCAGACAAACAATTCTTAATCACTCGTAATGTACCCTGCTATCGCCGATGCAAACAAATGGAATATGTGGGCGAAGAGACCGTTGTCGAGGAAGAGGGCGGAGATGGTGGCTGGGTAGAAACGCATCAACTAAATGAAGATGGCACCGCCCAAGAAATCGATAAAATCTGTGAATTGACTCTGGACGATAGCAAGGTAAAGATAAAACTAAATTTAATACGGAATAAAAATTGTAATAGTTTCTCCTAAAGGATGAAATGCACACACCCGATAGTGACCAGCCGGCAGATATGAATGATGCTGCAGCTGGAGCTGCTGATGAAGAAGAAGACGATGATGAGGCATTAGATATGGATGAATTTGAAGAGAGTGGCATGTTAGATTTAGTAGATCCAGCGGTAGCTTTAACCACCAGAAAATCGGAGACAACTAAAACGGAGGGAGGTGCTGCTGCTCTAGATTCAGGAGATTCAGTACTACATACTCGTACCTATGATTTGCATATAACTTATGATAAATACTATCAAACACCACGTCTTTGGGTAGTCGGTTACGATGAGGTTTGTTGGATATTATATATTATTGAGTTTATATTTATATAGTTGTTTTTCAAAACAGAATCGCAAACCTTTAAACGTTGAACAAATGTACGAAGATGTCTCTCAAGATCATGCTAAAAAGACTGTCACCATGGAATCACATCCCCATTTGCCCGGACCCAATATGGCCTCCGTACACCCCTGTCGTCATGCCGATATAATGAAGAAAATTATACAAACTGTGGAAGAGGGTGGCGGTGAATTGGGTGTGCATTTATATTTGATTATATTTTTGAAATTTGTACAAACGGTTATACCCACTATAGAATATGATTTTACACAAAATTTCAATTTATCTTAAATTGCTTGGAAAAATTTAAGAGAAATTAACAAATTACTGGAGTTTTTTTTGTCTAGGCTCCCTGGCTTAATTTATTAACTTTTTTCCTTTTTTTTAACAAATGCCATAATTTTGCTATAAATTATAAAAAAAAAAAACATAAAATTGCAAATGATTTTCTTAAAAGTTTAATGTGCATGTTATAAAATATATATATATTGTATGTGTAAATGTATGTTTTATTACTAAATTTTATTTTAATTTGTTTACATAGTTAAGAAATACATACATACATTCTTTGTATACAATCATAAATTAAATTAATAAAATCTATATTTTGCTTTAAGAAAATAAAAGAAAAATTAAAAATAATTATTAAATTTTTACAAAATAAGTACGGCATGCCACTGAAAAGGTGAAAACGAAGAATGTACTCAGAGCCTTTTGATAAGGACAAGGATTAAGTTGAAGAAGAATTCTAGAAGATCATATTGGATCAAAGTGTACCTAAAAATAATAAATTTACATAGTTTACCTATATAATCATCAATCATGTATCAATTTTCCATTATGTACCTATGTAAAATATAAATTTTACATTGTTTACTTGTGTAAAATAAGGATTTTACATAGTTTACATACACAAAATATAAAGTTTACATAGTTTACCTATGTAAAATACGAAGTTTACATAGTTTTCCTATGTAAAATACGAAGTTTACATAGTTTACCTATGTAAAATACGAAGTTTACATAGTTTACCTATGTAAAATACGAAGTTTACGTAGTTTACCTATGTAAAATATCAATTTTACATTGTTTACATATGTAAAATACAAATTTTACATTGTTAACCTTTGTAAAATATCAATTTTACATTGCTTACATATGTAAAATATCAATTTTACATTGTTTACATATGCACAATACGAATTTGTACATAGTTTACCTATATAAAATTTTAAGTTTACATTGTAAAATTCATATTTTACAGAATTTTACATAGCTTATATTCGTAAAATATAAAGTTTACATAGTTTACCTAAGTAAAATATATATTTTACATTGTTTACCTTAGTAAAATAAAAAGTTTACATTGTTTACCCCTGTAAAACATAAAATTCACATAGTTAAACTAAGTTAAATATAAATTTTACATTGTTTACCTATATAAAATATGAATTTTACTTAGTTTACCTCCGTAATATATAAAGTTTACATAATCTACCCATGTAAAATACGACGTTTACACAGTTTTCTTGTTTAAAATATACATTTTACATAGTTTACCTATATAAAATACAAATTTTACATTGTTTACCTATGTAAAATATGAATTTTACGTTGTTTACTTATGTAAAATATGAAGTTTGCATAGTTTACGTAAGTAAAATATCAATTTTACATTGTTTACCTATGTAAATATGAAATTTACATAATATACCTCCGTAAAATATAATGTTTACATAGTTTACCT